GGTCAAGATTTTTCGGCTGTTCCAAATCTTCATCTAGTTCTGTGAAGTTAGTTTCCAAAGGAAGGACTTGTTCGTTTCCTTCAGGCTCTTCTAGCTGTTGTTGCTGAACTATTTCTTCCATGTCTGGTTGTATCTGAACTTTCTTCCTGTGGAGTTTCTTGTACCTCATCTGCTGGCATTTCATATATTCCGAGACCGTTTTCAACAATTTCCCTATCTACGTCATCCGCATTCATAAGCTTTTGTTCTTTCGTTCCGTCTCTATTTTTTACGCGTTTCATGACGAAAGTTGAATTGTCATTTAGCTCTGACATCAAATATCTCGGAGTAAATTCATCCATGTCATTTGGATGATATGCTATTAAATCATATCCCTTAGCGAGCTTGTATTTTCCAGGTTTGAGATTATATCCGTTTTGGTGCTGAGCCATAAAGCTAAATAGGTTCGGGTCAGTATTTCCATCCTTGAACTTTCCAATAGCTTCTTTATATCTGTCACTAAAGTCAACAGTATCTGGGAAACCACACTCTTCTTTAAGCATTTTTAAGAATTCTTGGTTTCCTTGTTCTCTACTTCTTTTATGTCCTTGCTCTGTTTGTGGTTGTTGTTTGTGCAGGGTTTTGAAACTGTTGGTTGCTGTGCTGGTTGTTGTGTGGTTGTGGAGGTGGTTGTTGTGCTGGTTGTTGTGTTGGTTGTTTGTGTTGGTTTTGGTGCATGCCTGTGTCTATGTCCATGTGACGATGTAAATGTTTTAGGTAGTCCTGGTGCAGGTGCTTCTCTTGGAGGGTTTGGTGGTATAAAGTTCCACCAGCTGGCACATATGTTCCATCTGCAGCGTAATGTCCTACCTGACTTTTCGTTTTTAAGAAAGCATTTACTAGGTCTGTTTTGGTCTGTTGTAACTCTTTTCTTGACTTTTCACAACAGTTGCTCTAACGGCGTCATAGGCACTTTGAACTGCCTGTCTCGTTGCTGCATCTGTTATTTTCGTCATATTTTGTGCTACTTCTTTTAACTCTTGTCGAAACCTTCAGACTTCAGTTTCTTTCCAGATGAGAAGTCGTTCACTTGTTTCACCTTACTATGAAGAGCTTCGAAGGCGTTCTTAAAGTCAGCATTTGTTAAAGCTTCATTTGAACTGTCTTCATCCGCTTGTATTTTTGTCCTTATTGACCCTATGAGTTGGGCTGCTTTAGCGTTGGCTTGGGCATCTAACCAGTCATTGTTAGCTTTTATATACTCTGCGCTTTTTCATTGCCTTTTGCATAGCCGCGTCGTTATTTTTACTTTCTTGTGCTAAGTTTTCATACTGTACGGTTTGGTTGCATGTAAAAGTTTTTTGCCTTTACATTTTGCTTCAACTTCTTTTTATACTCATCGCTATCCATATATGTCTTCAGGGCTTTTTGTTTTATCTCTTCATCTTTCAGTATTTATATTGAGTAGTATGGTTTTTCAAATTTATGACATCTTGTTCCATTTTTGCTACTTCTGCTGCTTTTTCTGACACTTTTTTCGCATATTCCTCTGTACTTAGTTCTTTTCAGTTGTTCTTCTTCTTCTTTTTCTCTACGTTTAACTCATTGAGTTTCTTTGTGTGTCTGTCATATTCTAGTTTCTTTTCGTTTTCACTTATTTGCTTCTGTATGTCTATGTTTGACTTTTTGACATCTGTTATTTGATTTTTGAGTGAACTCAAATTCATTTGACTTTGAGGGTTATAGGCTGTTCCGTCTGCAGCTCCACCATAAGCCTGCATTTTCGCTAAAAGTGCCGCTCTTAAACCTCCACTCTGTGCACACAGAACTCGGTTTAAAAGCATAGGATTGCTTGACATTTGTTGCAACATAGTGGGGTCATTCAGCATTTGTTGTTGCAACTGTTGTTGTGGTGTCAGTCTTACTATTGGATGTTTCAATGCTCTCTTCCTCTTACGTATATTCTTACGTAGCTTACGTGGCATTTTAAGTGAAGTTAAAAAGCGGCTTTTGACAGATGTTTTATTGTGACTTCTTCGTAAAGACTTTGTTGAGACTTCTTCGTAAATGACCCAAAAATATATTTTAGGGTAGAAGGGTATATCTACCCCGTTTTCTACCCTCTTTTCTACCCTCTTGAATTTTCATGAATTTCTTCGTAAATGTTTTGTCAAGACTTCTTCGTAAAGACTTTGTTGAGACTTCTTCGTAAAGACTTTGTTGAGACTTCTTCGTAAAGACTTTGTTGAGACTTCTTCGTAAAGACTTTGTCAAGACTTCATCGTAAAGACTTTGTTGAGACTTCTTCGTAAAGACTTTGTCAAGACTTCATCGTAAAGACTTTGTTGAGATTTCTTCGTAAAGACTTTGTTGAGACTTCTTCGTAAAGACTTTGTTGAGACTTCTTCGTAAAGACTTTGTTGAGATTTCTTCGTAAATGACCCTAGTAGTATATTTTTGGTGTAAATTTCATGAAAATTCAAGAGGGTAGAAATGAGGGTAGAAAACGGGGTAGATATACCCTTCTACCCTAAAATATATTTTTGGTGTAAATTTCATGAAAATTCTGAGTAAAATGACAGATGTTTATATGACACTTTCTCCGGTTTATAGGACCTCTCTCATATTCTAAACATCTTCGGGGCTAGAAGGCACGAAGTGCCTGGAAGCCCCACTACCTTTTTTTTTTTTTTTTTTTTTTTTTTTTTTTTTTTTTTTTTTTTTTTTTAATTACTAAACTTAATATTTTCCTTAAAATTTCTCTTCAAGTTCATACACAAACAACATAATTTTTCAAAATCCAATTTTTTCAAAAAATGTATGCATTCAAAAGTTCAGATTATATCTAGTCATTATCCATTATTAATTTTGAATTTGATTTTTTGAGATATTCATTTTATTATACGTATTACTCAGAAAATTAAATGTATTTGTGAGGGAAAACGGAGAAGATAATAAATATTGTCATATAGAGGAATAAGCAATTTTAAGGAAAATATTAAGTTTAGTAATTTGTGTATATCTTGTTATGTAATGCATATTTTCGCGATCTGACGGCAGAAATCGAATCAGCGGATCCTGAAGAATCAGATTACGCGGGAAAAATAGGTTTTGAACGCTTAGATAGGGCTAAAATGATGTTTTATGAGGTGTGGTGTATAAATATAGTTTTTGCGATAATATGGCATGAGATCAGAATATGAAGTGAGTATATATGTGTTTTTTTTCACTGGTTTATATGTTGAGATAGCTCAGTAGAGTCTGTAAAATAGTTCAGTACATGCTATAAGTTAGATAAAGCACAAAAAAATATGAAATAAATATTAATTAGGAAAAATATAATGTAAAGATTGTATGTAAAGATACTTATATAGTATTTAAAATTTATTAAAACAAGAGTGGATATTACACTCTTGTCGGTCAAACTTTTGCAATCACATTCTGATTGCAACAAATTGTCTCATTCTGGGAGACATGCAGTGGCAATGTCTCCCGGAATGACACATTGTGACCGACAGGAGTGCATATTACACTCTTGTCGGTCAAACTTTTGCAATCATTCTGATTGCAACAAATTGTCCATTGGGAGACATGCAGTGGCAATGTCTCCCGAATGACACATTGTGACCGACAGGAGTGCATATTACACTCTTGTCGGTCAAACTTTTGCAATCACATTCTCATTATACAATCTCTTTATTTTCTTGCCTGTCCATACATATAATTAGTACATAAACAATATACCTTATTCACAAATCCCTTAAGCACAAATTTACCATATGATTTGTATTTATCTTTAAAAATCTTAATATTTTCAATAATTATTGAATTCTACATCTATTTAGTTTATCAAAACACTCAATGTTATAAAATCATATTAGTTTATATCATTTATCATCAGTTTTCATTTTACGCATGTAGTTTTTAAATCTCTATCAATTTTGAAATGAACAATATATTCACAATTATATGCAGTGTCAATAGATATCTTGTTGCCTATGAAATTAACAATTTTTTCAAATTATATTGATATTCTTCAAATTGTGAATTTGTTACATTTAATTACAAATATTGTCTTCTCCATTATTTTGCATTTGACTTACATTAATAACCAAGCTTAATTTTAACAATTGATACCCAATTCAAAATGTCTTTCCAAAATTAGCCGAATTTCAAAAATTGACATGATACCACATTCTACATCAATTGGAATTAAGAATATTCCAAATTAAATAAAAAATATCAATCTTTTCAAAATTTATAATATTATCTTTTTTTAAACTGTTATTATATCATTATCATTCATAGCCTGACTTATCAAAATGAATTTCAATTCATATTGTTCAAATAAAGCATTACTTTGAAAGTTTGAATCATTACTCCGACATATTTTCCTATATAGTAAAATCACAACCGAGATTGATATATGCATAACATTTCTAGCCATTTGCATGTAGATATGTGAAATTTTAACTCTAATTTTAAAATATTATAATTTTTTTTATATATCATGTCATTATGTATAAATCAATTCGCCGGATCATATATATTAATATATCTGTAATTGAATAGACTAGGCCAATTACATTAGTTTGATATGTTGATAACTTTTTAGATTTAGATTTCAACCTCAGCAATATATACTACTATGTACCAGTAATATAATGTTATAATATTGAGTTTGGATCTTCATGTAGTGTGGTTTTACAAGCAAAATAAATTTCGTCTAATTGCACTATGAATGTCATTAGTAGACTACTAAAATCATATGGTAGATTCTCTAGTGCCTACATAAGTATATGGTATATGTCACAAAGAATGTCTCCAATCAGGGAGCTGTATTAATGAGCTTTTATAAAAATTTACGGGCGTGTCAGATTCCAATAACAAAAACTTTAGGGTATTACAAAACAATTTGAATATAAAGAATCATTTTTCTCTAGAACAGACAAGTATGATGTACTCTTCACTAATGGTAGTCAAGAGTATATTTAGACAAGAGTTAAGCTACACTAAGTCCAATGGAAGTACCATTTTATAACTTTGAATTTACTGGGGACGTCCAAGAAAAAACTCTACCTCCGGGTGAGTATTTATTAGAATGCTGGGGTGCCAGAGGTGGTGGAGTTGAAGAATTTTTCGATCTTGAACTTTCTGCGAGTGGAAAAGGCGGTTACTCAAGAGGCTTAATAAAGTTAGAACATGAAACAAAACTATACATTCATGTAGGTGGACGAGGGAAAACCGTAAAGGGAATTCTACTTGGAATTTTTGTTGAAGGTGGCTACAATGGAGGTGGATCCTGCTTTGCAACTAGAGTTGATCCAACTGGAGCGGGCGGGGGTGGTACAGATATTCGTATCGAGACTGACTCGATATTTGCACGCGTAATCGTGGCCGGGGGTGGCGGTGGGAGTGGTGGTAGTGATAAACTTCCAGGTGCCCCTGGTGGAGGACTTATTGGAGGGTTTGGAATTCCAATCCTTGTTTCGCCAGGTGGCCAAACATCAGAAAAAGAATCTGAGTTTGGAGAAGGAGGTGAATTCTTTCAAGGAGCCCATACAGATATGGTTGTTGGTGGTGCTGGCGGTGGTTGGTATGGAGCTAGCGCTCTACAACCAAAAAAAGTTCAGAAATTGGCGCCAACTCTGGCTCTGGTGGAAGTGGATACGTATACACTGAAGGAACAGCTGTAAATTATCCTGAGGGATGCCTATTAAATGAATCATATTATCTAAAATCTGCTGAAACCATTGGAGGAGATCAAGAATTTTTAGGTCCTGATGGTAGATATGAAGTAGGTCACAATGGCGATGGCTATGTTAGAATTACTAAATCAAGATTTCAATTTCTTGATCTAGACAATGAAACATGTGCATTAAAATCACATGAAAGAACGTATTGCATTGAAAACATCACAATTCCTAACGAGTATGCTGATCTCAAGGTAATTTCCATTCTTGCTTACGCATTTTCCGGAAATCCGTGCATCAAACGAGTATTCATTCCTAACACTATCATCACTATTCACAGATATGCATTCTACTACTGCGAAAACCTCAAAACTGTAGAGTTTGAAGCTAATTCTTCTTTGACATACATAGGTTTGAGTTCTTTCTCTATGTCAGGAATAACAAACATTACTATCCCAGAAAACATATCGATAATAGAATCCAGCGCTTTCGCCCTCTGCAAGAATCTTACTAATGTCACAACCTGTTCTAGAAGATACCTCAATACGGCAAATGCTTTCGAGAACTGCGACAAGCTTACTGATATCTTTGTAAGCCCATAATACGAAGGCGATGAATTTTGTGGAATTAAAGTTACTCATAAATCCGATTGCTGCTCTTGTGTTCCTAAATTAAGATGCATCAGTCAAACAAGAAGAGATTATTGCCAGCGCAAACTTAACGTTGCACCTGCTAATATTATGTTATTAAGACTTCTTTAATAAAAAATAACACATTTTTCATACATTAGTTTTGTCTGCAATTAGTGCCTTGAATAAGCCAAGGATATATGAAATCTGATTTGAATCTGATTATCAAACCATTTTCGTCATATAAAATATAGTTAAATGGGAACAGTAGGTCTGTCCTGTAATAAACAGAAATTCATCAAAAGTGACAGCCCTCAATTTTTTGACATTTGTAAATTCTAAATTGAATGAGAAAAATGAAATAATACTAAGCATAATACAATATTCTAGATTTAATTATAATTAGGAAAAAGTTAGTTTTGAGAGTACTTTTCATAGGCATATAGAATGAAATCTTCTGAAAAATAATATCACATAAACTCATATTATTTTCTAATATATAACTATTTTATATAAAAATCAAATTCAATGATCTTAAAAGCGAAGGATAAACCTCAAAATTTACGAATATAATGAGTGGGAATATAATGCTTATCTATCATAAAACCATATGAAATATCAATTTTTGCTTTACGCCTAATTTTTGACGACAATTAGCAAAAAATGTTAAATGTTAACACTCAGTCCATTTGAATATGAAAAATAAAATTGACTTTGATTAAATGTTTTTATTTATCATGCAATTCTTCTTGCGACCAAAGATTTGAATAAAAGTTCAAAAAATAAGATAGCTTAAAAAATAATATACGGTAGTGTTTACTAATAGATGAATAGTATATAAATTCTATTAAAATGGATTTGATCCAAAAAAAATATATAAAATTTGATCATAAATAAAATCGTTTTAAATTACTTCTTCATTTAAATTATAACAATTATTTTTGGTTTTATATTTTTTTGGATCAAATCCATTTTAATAGAATTTATATACTATTCATCTATTAGTAAACACTACCGTATATTATTTTTTAAGCTATCTTATTTTTTGAAATTTGATTCAAATCTTTGGTCGCAAGAAGAATTGCATGATAAATAAAAACATTTAATCAAAGTCAATTTTATTTTTCATATTCAAATGGACTAAGTGTTAACATTTAACATTTTTTGCTAATTGTCGTCAAAAATTAGGCGTAAAGCAAAAATTAATATTTCATATGGTTTTATGATAGATAATCATTATATTCCCACTCATTATATTCGTAAATTTTGAGGTTTATCCTTCGCTTTTAAGATCATTGAATTTGATTTTTATATAAAATAGTTATATATTAGAAAATAATATGAGTTTATGTGATATTATTTTTCAGAAGATTTTGTGTTCTTCTTCAAAATTTTATTTTTTTATTAAAAAGAATCTTTACAAAATATACATTTACTTTAATTAATATTTAAAAACGTGCTCTATCAAAAGTTCCAAAAATTCAATATTTTAGCTTTTCTGAGGTGTCACTTTTGATGAATTTCTGTTTACAACAGTCCAAGCTATTTTGTAAATATTTAACTTATAAAACTATAGTCTGATGAAATTCTATATCAATTTTTTTGAAGAGAAAAAAAATCAGAAATGAGTAAAAAAAGGGACGATTTAGAGTTAACTTCTATGAATGATGAGCAAGCAAGTAATCTCTTTTCGACAGCTAACTTTAAATCGACAAATAGAAATCTATTAAGCCAGTTACATACTCGTCATCAAACAGTTTATAATCTTCCACCAAAATCTTTGGATGTTTCAACATTTAAACTTCCAGAAGACATTGCCAAAAAGATCGACAATATTTTCTTACCGCCACCACCATCAACGTCCCTTGCTCATTCTTCATATATTCCTCCTCCAGACAATTCAGCAGATACATCAATGGAATCCAGCATGATTCCTCCTCAGAAGGAAGAACTTGAAGACAATAACTCAATGCCAAGATTCGAAATCAATTTGGAAACTGTAGATAACTATTTTGGCTTTCGTGACAAATTTACTCAAATCGAATTGCTCAATCAGATGATGCATAACCAAGGATGCAGATCCCTTGAACAATTTTGCATGAATGCCATTCCAGATCAAAATATTTTTGATGAAGATGCAATTTTAGAATCTCTCAAATCGTTTTTGGATGGATTTACTTCTACAGTGCATAGCAATGCCAAAGATTTCATTGATATGATTAATGATCGCATCAGTGTTTTAGATAATGTTGCAGAAAACCTCAACGAGTTCCAAGCGGAGATAACCAAGGTTAAAGGTACATCGACATACATGTCAATTGAAGATTTACGACAGGATCTTCCTCCAATGAAAGAGCCAATTCAATATGATCCAGGACCAGAGCAACCAACATCGATTTACATATTCCCAGCTGAATCCCCACTCAATGTTGGCTCTTTGGAGAAGCTTGGAGCTATCGCGGAGAACTCAGATCCATCAACTTTCATAAAACGAAATTCATTGACGTCAATCATGTCAACTCCGAACGATTTCTTCTCTCAGCCAATCTCTTACACCAGTAACAATGATCCTTTCGCTACTCAGGACGTCAAAGCCGCTCAACATCGTTTTTGTCCGGAATTTTTCGGTTCTGTTTCAGGAACAGATGACACTCCTACGACAGGATCGAATCTTAGAACACATGCCTTCAACTCTAGATACCTTTCGAAGCAGAATTTCGCTTCATTTAAATCTCATGGTTTACAATCAACAGTTAGAACCTCAACTAACTCTTCAAACTCTGGTTCTAGCAAGCAGTATTATAACCATGATATGCCACAGGTGCAATCTACTTCTATTCCTCCTTATTCACCAGAATCTGTTGCTCCACCTCCTCCTTCAACGAAACCAATGACTGTGGACATGCTTCTGTCACGGCTTGGCGCTGATGGTGAAGTTTTGAAGAAGTTTATTAAAGTTAAAGCACCAGTTAACAGAGTTTCATTTTCTGTCGAAGAAAATATCCAATCTCCGCTTGCTTTCGCTGCTAATGATAACTCTAATGAAAATGATGACGAAGATATCCCTCCTGCTCCAGAATTGATTTTACCTGATCGAGATTAAAAAACTTATTATTATTTAATTAAAAAAATTTTAATATATTTCTCAAGAGGATATTATCATTTGTTGGGGAATATGATCGTGTCTCAGTTTATTTAAATCATTCAAATCAATGAAATAATAAAAATAACTCCTCTGAAAAGAATTACTCTTGTAGGTTTAATTCAGTTTCTCAATAAACTCCATTCATACTCACAACAGCAGTCGCATAAGACATGGAAGCGATTTTCTTGCAGAGCTTCTAGAATAAAGGAGAAGAATTTCTTACTGCATTCCAAAACTTCTGACATCTCACAACTAACCTCTCCTCTCAGGTTGTCAAGATGTGCATGGAATCTAAATCAGAAGGAGAGATGAATAAGCGCTTATTCATGAAGAGTTTCTTGAAGTGCTAAAGATCTTCAGTTCAAGAACCAACTTAATAAAGTGAAAGAGCAAAACCCTGTTGTCTGTGAATGGTGTGAACATGCTCTTATTGATGGAAAATAAGAATTAAAGTCGGTTTAATTAAATCAGCGTATATGTGTTTGTCTATTATAGTATTAATTGTTGAAAACTTTACCTGAAAAATCAAAAATATCAAGAAATAAACAATTATTGTTCCTAGTAGTTTTGCCTGTTTGAATTAATTTGAACGATATAAATTTATCTTTTGTAATAAGTGAATATTTTCGTATTTCTCCATTGTCAAGCGGCGAATCGTTCACTTCGTGGATGACTTTAGTTTCTCCATTAATAGTAGTACCTTCGACTTTCCATGATTTAAGGCGAGAGCAACTGCATTTTTTATTGTGCGTTCTAACAATATATTCAGTAGGTTGAATTGAATAGTTTTGCTTTAATTTCCACTCAACCCATGAATTAGGAATATTATCAGATTGGAAATAAGAATCTTCGCTATATTTATTAATTATATCAATGGATCCATGAAATGCAGATGAGGCAGATATTTCAACATTTCCACTTCCGAAATAATTCGTTTCGATAGGAATATTTTTAGTTCTATCCATTAAGTTAGAATTTCTTGAGCGGATTAATGGATCTGATAGTGAGTTTACAATGGATTGATAATTGTTTGAATTGGTTAAATCTTTGATTGCTTTAATGATATTTTCGCTGCAAAATTCTAAACGAATGCTTTCAATCAATGAATAGAAATCATTATTGTATTGAGCTAGAGAAATAATGAATTCTGCTAATGAATCTTCACTTTCGATTTCAAGTTTGTCACTGTTAAATATTTGTTGAAGAATGTCAATACCAAATTTGGTTGAGAGAGTTTTAAGTCGGTTCGAATCAATTTCATAAAAATGTGATGATATGAATTGGCAGCATTCTTTTATTTTATCATTTGAACAAGAATCGAAATAATATTCAAGTAATTGAAAACAGTTGTTTTTGTCGATTTTCATGTTATCAATAATATATGTTTCATAGAAATTGATCAGTTCTTTGATTTCAAGAGATAGTCCAATATGGAAAAGATCTTTCAAAACATTTTCGTCACATTCAATTTCTGTTTTATTGTATTGAAGAATATCTTAGTATATTATATGTATCTTGTGATGTGATCTCTGTTTGTATATCAATTTTGCTAATATTGCTGTCTAAAAGATATTGTGAGTAAAACGTTTGTGAAATTGCAACTGCAAATGACTTTACAAGTGAAATTTCAACGTTATTGATTGCCAATATAACTTTCTCAAGCGAATGATAGTTGTTTATCCTCTGAAGAATTTGATTATTGAGTTGGATTAAAACCATTTTTTATAAAAAAAAGTGAATTATTTCTGAAATTTGAATTTATATATAAGAAAACGCGTATTTATGCAATAATCAATGAAGTATTTATGTTCAAATTTTTGAAGATTGACATGAAACTTCATCGAAAATTAATCTTAAAAACAGAACTGAAGACAATGTCATGCGGGCATAAGCACATCTTCAACGATTGGATTGATTATTTCATAGGGTTTTGCAAATTGGCTTGAAGGCATTTGTTACCGTGTTAGTTGATGCGTAATTATGTAAAACCCTAATTTTTCAAGTAAGTTTGATTCTTGTTAGAGCTATAACTTTCTCATTTACTTATTTCATTACAATATGATTGTAGCATGAAAGAGATGATATTGATGATTAAAACAAGTCCGTAAAAGTTATAAGATGGTAAAAGATAAAATGAATTTACTTAAAAAAACAAACAAACAAAATAAATAAAAGAATAATAAGGTCGCCAAAAAAAGTGCGGAAATTAAAAACCGCAGTTTGAGTACTTTCTGAGAGTCCGTTCGTCAGAAAGTATACATTTGTAAACTTTCTGACACTAAAAAAATTTTTGTCCTTTCAAAGTTTTTGACAATGTCAAAAAGTATACATCGAGGTTCTCAATTTTCCTCTCAAACGGCGGTTTTTTAAAAACCCTCAATTTTTCATCGACCTTATATAAATTATATTTCAAGTTTGATTATCAGATGATAAGTCTTTCCATCAGCAATGTTTCTTGATGAAGTCTGCTGACTGACTAAAAATTCTCTGTAATCAATTGGAAAACCAGACAAAGAAGAAAGTTCTTGGCACCTTCTCTCTATATCTCTTTCCATTTGATATCTCATTGCAGACAATCTTTGGTTGCATTCGTTGTTTGCAGCAATAACTTCCTTTTGATGTCTTGCTAGAATCATCTTTCTTTTAGATGACTCTTGTTCGTTTTGTCTTGGTGTAGAAAGAGGTTTCCTTTGTGCTCCTCTTGTTGTTGATATCGGAACTCTCACAAGAGCTTTGTTCTTGTTGCTACAGATCATTTTGAGGGTCGGAGGAAGTGCTGAAACAGCTCTTGGCAAAATTCCATTTCTTTCGTCAAATGTTCGTAATTCTTGGACTTGTCCAGCAATGAGTTGTTTCATTTGCTCCTTCTGCTTCTGTTCTTCATCGTTAATCCGTTTCATCCACATTTTGGATGCTTGTTCGATCTCTTGTTTCATTGCACGAACTCGAACGGATTGAACAAGTCTGGTTGGAGTTGCTGATGGTGTTGGGAGATCGGGAACATGGCTATCCATCTTGACAGGCTCAAAAAGACTATGTGGAACGTCGCCGTTGAGAAAATTCGGATCATTAAAATCAAATTTTTGGGCATTTGCAGGAGCAAATGAATTTGTATATTGTTCGTTGGCTGATGAGTTCTGGAATGATGAATTGGACTTTTTCGATTGTTGGTGCTGCGCGTATGGGTATTGCCAGCCAATTTTGCTTGTTGATGTATCTGATGGTCCTAAATAGGAATCAGACGGTCCAACATATGAGTTTTGACCTGATCTAGTTGAATCTGAAGGTCCTAAGTAGGAATCTGATGGTCCCATATAAGAATCTTGTCCTGATCGAGTAGAATCGGATGGACCCATGTATGAATCACCATTTTCGAGAATAATTCTGTTTGAATCTTCGCGAATACGAGGGCTTTGAATTAAAATTGGATTAATTTGATTTTTTCGTTGGGAAGATGGAAAAACATCTCCAATTATTTCAGGCTCTGGCAAAAGTCGTTGAGATTTCTTTTGATTTGAAAATAATGAATTTCCTCTTTGTGTTGAATTGGCAAAATTTTGAAAACCGCTGTCGCTCTCCTCTATTAACCCAATAGGTAAAGGAGGAATGGCATTTGAATGTGTATCATTGTCATCTCCCCCATAGAAAGTTGGGAGCATTTTGAATAACCGCTTTTGAAAATTTTTGCCAATAATGTAAAGTGTGAAAATGGCAAAAAATGAGTATAACCTTCACCTGTGAAAATATTATAAATTAGACTAGGAGTATGAATCAGTTTAGGAAATGTTTGTATTTGTTACATTTCTATTTAATTTCAGTTTATATGCGAAATTCACAAATAAATTTGCAATTTTTTTTATTTTGAACGATGAAAATAAAGATTATCTTTCCACAACTATAATAGTTAAGTAGATTGCACTTCAATGACAAAAAACGAGAAGTTCAAAAGCCATAAAAAAATAAAGTTTTAATGATTAAAAGAAAAGCATGGTTATATTAACAAACAGTATTTTCGACATATTTCTTCACTCTTTTAGATATTTTGATGATAGATTGTTGCGCTGATCTCCTGAATAAAGTTGTTTCGGACTGTAGCTTGGAAGAACTTGGCTTTCCAAAGTTTTCTTCGAAGTGTTTCTTGATTTGAAACATGTTTGGGCGTGTCTGCGGATCAAATCTAAGGCATAAATCTATTAATTTATTAAAATTTCGTGGTGCAGTCATAATCCTTTCATGTCCGATCTTCATTGCTTCAATGCGATAGGAAACTAGTGGATTAACAAATGGCAGTCTTCCAGACAACATTTGGTACAAAGTAATTCCTAGAGACCAAACATCTGCCTTAAATGGATCATATTTTGTATTCATAAGGATTTCTGGAGCCATGTAGTTAGTTGAGCCGCAAAAGCTAATTGAATTTGTCTCATTGTGATTTGCAAATTGAGATAAACCAAAATCACAGATCTTGATGCGATTGAATTCATCAACCAACATATTTCCTGGTTTAATATCGCTATGAGCAATGCCTTTGGAATGAATAAAGCATAAAGCATCTAACATTTGGTAAGTATATTTTATTAACTTAGGAATTGATAAACTGTCTTGTCCATCCATTTTAGAAAGAACCGATCCGCCAGGGCAATATTCCAATATTATGGCTAAATAATTCTCTACAATAAAGACATCATAAACACGAACAATATTGGTATGATTAAGTTGAATACGTGTACTTACTTCTCTGCTAAATGATGAACTTATTTTTGATTCAAAATTTTGTGAATGAGAAATCTTGCATGCAAATTTCATGTTGTATTTAAGACTATGAACAAGGTAGCAGCTACCGAATCCTCCCTTATTAATGTAGTCAATGAGTTGATATCCTTTGCTTAGGAGTAAAGGACCTATGTTTTCCTGATTCATTTTGAAAACGATAAATTTTAAATATTAAAACTTCATAATCTGAAAAGATATCATAAATGCATTTTATAAATTTAGATAACTCGAAATTTGAATGAATCCATAATTAGAATTTTGACAAGATTGAAAACATAATTCAAAAATCAAAAATCAAAGCTATTGGAACTACAATAATATGTTAAGTGCTGCATTATTTGACTATGAATTTTTTTCAATTCATTGGACATTATTCGTGGATTACATGCATTTTAATATACTAATAAATAATCATAACAAAAGAAACTAATCAAAATTAACGATATTATGAAATTTGAAAATTCATTCAATGTTGTTAAATTTGAAAACAATTATAATGTATCGATGCATTGATTTTATCTTTCGATGATAATTATCCTTCCAGGGTGACCTGCATCGAGAATTTTTGAGAGAAAAAACGAGGAAATTTACACTCCACAATTAATTAATCTTAATATGAATCACAGTAATTTTTATTAATAATATTTTACAACAAACATGGTATAAACTATTCAAATTTTGCCTGTTGGAAGTTTATTGTCTATATTTCAATATCGGTGACAAATGTGATAAAAAGATATGCCCAAATCAGAATTCTAACTCAAAAGAAAAATTCATATATTAAACATCAATATTCAAATGTAAATTAAAAATCAATATTCGAAACATCATTGCATTAATGGTATAACTATAATGGACGTATTTTGGGCAAACAATAGAGACTTTCAGAACCATGATTAAGTTGACAAATCAATATTTTGCAAAGCAATTTATTTAATATCGCATAAAAGCGTAGGGCAAAGTGACTAGAGTGAGGACATAAAAATTTCCTTATATATAGAGTTAGAGGTAAAAGCTTAATTATGTTTTTTTATTCTGATGAAATTCACCTCCGAAAATATCAGAAAAAGGAAGAATTGTAAGAATATTCTTTTTCTTCGTCTTTACTATTGTATGAATATCATTACACGTCTATGATCTTAGTTACAAATCATAAATTATTTAGTAAATCCTTATGGGCATTGTTTTCATCCTTTATTTACAGTTGTTTTTTCCCTAATAAATTTTAAAGATCTTTTATTTGGTGAAAGGTAACTCATGCTTTTGGTGGTAAATTAATTTAAAAAATTTTTTTATGTCTGAACAAGACATTCATCCTAATGTATACAGTGAATTACGAAATATATATAGTTACTATATAGATTCATACAATGCATTATATCAGCTCAAAACGGAGAATGAAGCAGAATTAAACAAGATTTACAAAATGATCAAGACGGAATTGCTTGACTCAAAGAAATATCTTCCTAGAAATGTTTTAGTAGACATTTTAAGTTTCATTCAGTATAATAGTCGTTATGCAAAGTCATATTTATCTCTTGCCAAACTCATATATGATGAATCTCATGTTAAAGAGGTCAATAGAATTCCAATCATTTCTAACTTCTTGTTTTATAAAGAATATGGTATTAAATTATGCAAATCTGATGATTTCGAACAAATTAACATAGAGAATCTTGAAAATATTCCCACAATTTACAGAGCAATTATGGATAATGACAAAGAGTCATTCATTGCATTCACTTTAAAGAAAGGATTTGATAAAAATCAAAAGCTCAGGTGTAAATTTAATCCATATGTTGTATATTCATTACTTGAACTATGTTGTTATCATGGAGCAGTTGATTGTTTCAAGTTTTTGAGAACGGAATTTCATTTAGAAATAAATCGATGTTGTCTTCTATTATCTTTTTTAGGTGGAAATCCAGAGATAATGAGTGAATGTTTGAAATATCAAAAACCAAATAAAGAATGCATGGAATATGCAATTATTTCGCACAATATTGATTTCGTTACATTCTTAATGAATGAATACAATATAAAGATCGATTTAGATTGTTGCATTACTTATAACAATCTTGAAGCATTTTTGGTTTATTTTGATCAAACTAAAGATGTAAATGAATGCTTTATTAAATCGACGAGGTTCAACATTCCATCTCTTTGCGAATATTTCCTTTCATATGGTGCAAATATCAATGAAAAAGATGAATATGGAAAAACTGCTCTACATGCTGCAGCTGAAAACAATAGTAAAGAAACAGCTGAATTTCTTCTTTCTCATGGTGCAAATATCAATGCAAAAGATAAGTATAAGAAAACTGCATTCCATTATGCAGCAGCTAATAATAGTAAAGAAACAATCGAACTTCTTATTTTACATGATGAATATGTTGATGCAAAAGATAATGATGGGAAAACCGCTCTTCATTATGCAGCTCGTAATAATTGTAGAGAAATAATCGAACTTCTTATTTTACATGGTGCATATGTTGATGCAAATGATAAAGATAGGAAAACTGCTCTTCATTATGCATCACACACAGATATAAAAGAAACAATTGAACTTCTTCTTTCACATGGTGCAAATATCAATTGGCAAGATAAAAATGGAAGAACTGCACTTCATATTGCAGCACGTTTTAATAATAAAGAAACTGCCCAACTTCTTCTTTTACATGGGGCAAATATAAATGAAAAAGATAAATATGAAGAAACTGCTCTACATGCTGCAGCAAGTTTTAATAGCAAAGAAACAGCTGAATTTCTTTTATCACATGGAGCAAATATCAATGAAAAAGCTAAATATGGGAAAACCGCTCTTCATATTGCTGCGAATAAAAATAAAAAAGAAATTGTCGAATTACTACTTTCTAACGGTGCAAATATCAATGAAAAAGATAAAGAAGGAACAACAGCTCTTCAGTATGCATTAGCGAATAATTGTAAAGAAGCAATAGAACTTCTAATTTCACTTGGCGCCAACATCAATGAAGCAGATGAAAAGGGAAAAACAGCTCTTCATTATGCATCAGTGAATAATTGTATAGAAGCAATAGAATATCTTATTTCACATGGTGCAAACATCAATCAAGAAGATGAAAATGGAAATACTGCACTTTATTATGCAATACATTATAATTGGGAAGAAACAGCCAAACTTCTTATATCACATGGTGCAAAAATGTAGTCTACCAGTAATATTAATATCTGAAAAAAGTAAAACGAACTTTTTATTAACGAAGATACCTGTATATATCCTCACCGTTATAAAAACAATGAAAAATTGTTTCGGAAAGGATATAATCACAATATCCAACATACCGAGAATTTCTAAGTTTCGTGAGCATATTTAGTTCATTAAGAGAGTGCATCTCATGTACTTGTTTATATGTTATGAATTTGGTTATTGGACATATGAAAAGGATATTTGTAACTAAAAAATTTAGTATAAGATGCATTTACATTCAAAAAGTATTTTTATTGTATTAGTCTAATCATTTTCTCTCTCCGAGTTAATAATTGCTAATGATTTAATGAATTTTATTTTAAATACCAACTCTATATCATTTCGATCTCATAATAGCGAGAGTTACACTGAATAGTAGTTAAATCATAAAATTAATCATTTTTTAAAATTTCAGATTCATGAATAAAGCTGCTGTTCAACAATTTTTAGAAACAGGAGGAGATTTTCAATCCGAGTATGACTTCAAGAAATTGTCTCAATATTTGATTGCTATTCCACCTCCTGTTTTGTCTCAAGAGCCAGATATTCCACATCTTTTAGAAAGAGTTATGAAATCTGTTCACAAAGTATTGTTGAACGAAATTTCGAAAATTAATGAATCTACAGATATAATGAAATCAATGGATGCAGATTTTCAAGAAAGTTTAGAAATTCCAGCAACAAATTCATTTAATTATTTCGACGTTGCACAGTTATCATACCTACATAACAAAATAGAGAAATATTTTAAACTCTCATTCGATTTGAAGACAGAAATTTTAAATAATAAGATTGAACTAATAAAAGCAATGATTCCTTTAGTCAATTACTTATATTCGAACCCTATGCCGATTTTATTCCGTACATCACGTCTGATGTCGCCAGCAGATCGAAGTTCTTTTATTTATTCTCGAAAACCTCTGAGACGGCTTCAATCGCTACGAAGAAAATCATATGATATTAATTTGAAAATTCATTTTACTCCTCCTCCATTCAGATCAAGAAGAAAAAACATACAATTTTTAAATAATCTAATTGATCAAGGTTTAGCTGCTAAAAAGACCGGAACAACATATTTCCCTGAATTAGAGAAAGAAGATTTATTGTATCTCTTCCTTAAATTACCTGTATCTCCACTTTTCAAAGAAAAATTATATCCATTACCTCCGGAAGCCGAATTAACGCCAGAATACATCAAAGAATGGATTGACAATGCAACAATATGTGTTGCTGCTTATCTTAAAACAGAAGATTACGATCGCGCAGATATTCTTCAAATTCTCCTTCAAAGATTCATTTTCACCGACCTTTACCCTAAGCTATATGAAGAGCCAACTGATATTGAAACTCTCAACAATTACAACAAAAATATTGAGAAATTTCGGAAGAAAAATCCAATTGAAGTCGGAATTAAGGGCAAATATATTAAAGAAGGTTACGAAGATAAACCAGTTGAAGAATTGTTCTTAATTGATGAAAATTCCAAGTCCCCAATTGATTGGATTAATTTATCAGAATTTTGCATCGCTCCTATTGATGCAGCCTTCTGCCTTGCAAAGGCACATGAACATTTATCAATGATGTGCGTTCTGAGAGCTGCAAAAGCGAACCATCCGAGTAAAGTTGAAAATTTCATGGATAAAATGCCAGGATTCGATGATATCTTTGAAATATGGATGGCCATGATGAGCGCGTGCAATCTCAGAGATCCTTTCTGCATTTTAAGACATGTTATGAAGTATTCGAATCTTCCTGGCTATAAAGGACGCTTGATGTCTGCAATAACATATCTTGAAGCATCAATTACTCAATTTCAAGAAGAAAATCATGAATAATTTTATTATTATTTTTTGTTTGTTTTGTATATAAAATCTTTTTTTCTATCCTTATTTAAATAGATATCATCACATGATAACCACTTGATTTAATAAGATACTATTATGTGATTAATTACATCGATCAAACTCTCAATAAAGACGAATAGGTAATATAGATATTTCCATTGAATGAAAACAGAATTATCACTGTGTAAAAAGGAATTTAGTGGCTTAAATATTAAATTCCTTGGAGTATCCTTATATGATAGCACCTTGATCTATTTCGGATTCACTTATAAACCTGTTGAATTTATATTCAATGCTGGTTTAAAGAGTTAATTTTTCTGGAATTTGACTTATATTCCATAAAAATATAGGATGACTGAAAATGATATAAGTCTTACTCTTCACTAAACTTGAAGCTATATATCTAGAAATCAAATATAAATATACTGATATCTGCATTGGGAAATATTTTGAAATGATATTCAGCTATAAGAAAACATATATGTTAAATACTTTATTATGTACGTGAATAATAGCAATCAATGTTAATAGAGAAATAAACAATATTGAAAAAGTAAAAATAACATAATATTTATAAACAACATAAAAAACAATAAATTTATCTTATAATCTTATAAAGGTATTGAATTAGTATTAAATGCGATTGGAGGGATTACGTCTTTTCCATACTTCGGTGTATCTACATCAACACCTTTAATTTCAGCTGTTACGTCTAAAATCCCTAATTTTTGGAACTTTGAAATAATAAAAAGAAGGAATTGCTGAGTGTTTGTCACAGAATCTTTCTGGACATCAATTTTTGCAGATCCAACCAACAGGAATTCATCATTTTGCCATGCACTGATAACAGGAATATTGGCAACAAAGCCAATAGACTTGATTTCATTGCAAAATTCGGGCATTTCTGGTCTGATTTTGTTGGGTGTCGCACAAATTAAAATGGAAATTGTTTCTTTGAGAGAATCTAGGGTCAATTTGATAGTTACTCCAATTATAACTAAGGCTAGTATCTTATCAAGTGTTCTATTCTTTGAAAATAAAAATATGAATGAGCATAATAGAGAAACTATGTCTTCTGCAATGACAGACATATTAATTGTTGTTGTCTGTTCCTGATATGCGTTGAAATTAATCGCATTGGCAACAGATTTGTTGGATGAAGAATTTTTCGGATAAATAGCAAAAAATGCTACAATAAGCATATGGAAAATCATAGGAAGTATCAAGGCACTTCTGTATTCACGTTTTAACTCATAATTTGAAAACAAAATTATTTGAATATTATTGAAAATCACGAAAAACGCAAAAATCGAAATGGACAATGAAAATATATGAGATATTCGTCCCATTCCGTATGAAAGCTGCTGAGTTGGTTTTCTCGATATTGATTTCCATAATTCGCTAAGAGTCCACTTGATACAGATCAAAAAGTATATAGAATCTGATAATGTATATATTGAATGAGTTGATGAGTAATATAAATACTGATAGAGAACGGAAAATAAAATTATTATTGTAAAAACGAAATGAATTGTAGATTTTGATGTACTAAATGGACTTGATGTAATATATTCTGAAAAATTCACTGTTGCGAGGTATGAAATACTGTAAATAATTATTATCGAATATAATGAAGAAATTGGGAATATTTCGTGGCGCATAAAGATTGCATGTATTAGAACGTGTACAACAAATGGGATTATCAATCGGTAATTTAATAAGTAAAGCTTTTTCTCGAAATTTTTTCTTATCATGCTTGAAAATGTTAATGGATTGAACAAAAATATGCCAGAAACAATAGATGCAACTGCGTTAACACTAAACTTAAATCCTTCAGCGAATATACCAATGCAAGATGCTTCAATGAAAATTAAAAGGAAAAGTGGAATGCAAGCAGTTGATGCATTTTGGTAGGATGAAACTAATTTCTTAAAGTACATCAGACCGAATAACTGGCAAGCTATTGATCCTGTAATAAAAAATATATTTAAATTTAATTTAAAAGTTGTAACTAATATCGAAAGAAATATGATAGCGGATGCAGCAACATCAAGATATTTACCGCTAAAGTTAAATCCGCCTGTTGTAAATGTCGCAAAAATTCGAATTAAAATCAAAATTATTCCGTTAGATAAACTATTTTGTAACATCGCATAGTTAAAAAGTATAGTATGTCCTAGAAATAGAATACTTGTAATAAATAAACGCATGATTGTTCTTGCTTTTCTTGGGAATAATGAAGTTTTTGATGCTCTTGGATTTTCTTGCTCTTTTGATCCATTTCCTGAATACAAATTCAATTTTCTCCATAGTTTTCGTGTTGATAAGCTGAAAACGAAAGCAGAAAAAAACTGAATCGATGATTTGCACCAAACAGAATTACTCCGGCTATCAATCAGCATGGCTATTGATACAAGAATATGAGGTAACGAATGAACAACAAAGTACCTCAATTTTTGTAAAAAAGTCATATAAAAAAAATGAAAAATATCGGAGTGATTTTATTTCGAAAAGTGACAATCATGATTTTTTAAAAATCCAATGTATCATCACAACCAATTGATTTCACATATATACTTTTATAAATATATGGTTAAAATGAACTACCTATCTGCATATAGATAGAATTCTAATGAAAAGAGTGTGCAACATATAGATGAAATATGGAAAGTTACTTTTTTATTTTAATGAGTCAAGGTATTATTCCGAATGAATTACTGCACATATCAATGACTACGTTAAAGAAAATAATTTCTTAAATGTATTTGAAATCGAAAACATCGAACTGATCATGACTTTTTTACATAAGATTATAGTTCATAGTATTCCAAAAATGACCAAAATCTGTGAGTATTTGCCGAATATCATGTAGATGCTAGAGAATAATATGGAATTATTAAAAATGTCCTTTATAATAAATTGGAAGTGAGAAACCGAAATGTGTTTCAGAGTTAATACTATATTTGCATAATCGATTTGATTACATTACTGTTTTCGGACGATAATACATTGTATTTTTGCCAATTTGCAACATTTTTATTTGAGTTTTTTTACGTCAGAGACAGTAGCATGATCAAAACATTTCGAATTCTGATTCATATTTTCAATTAATTTTGAGGGAATTCAAATTTTTACAATGCATTAAAACTGCATATTTTGTAAATAATAGTGATCCAAATATGAATCATTTTTTCAATAGATCTCAAATTTTCAATTGAAAATCAAATTATGATTTTGCTCAATTTTTATTGTGCTCTATGCTTTGGACTTAGTTATATGGGCCCCATTCAAGAAATGTCAATCAATAATCCAGAAATAGTACAAAAATCCAATTTTATTGGATACAAATATCGCATTATAAACTTAAAAATCGAAAGTGGTGTCAAACGAGTTGAAAATTATGCATTTGAAGATTTTACAATATTAGAAACAATTAATTTATCAGAAAATGTAGAATATTTCAGTAGTTCTGCAACTTTGAATTGCAAAAATTTATTTTCAATCATAGTATCACAAAACAATCCGTACTTTTATAACGATGCTGACATGAACTTGTACACCAAGAATCAATCAGTACTTATAAGAGTTATGCCTAAAAATCCAAAATCAGGTTATCCTAGAAATTTCACAATTCCTTCTAGCGTTACTGTTATCCAACAATATGCATTCGCAAATACAGATATTTTTGAAGTAAAATTTGAGGAAACTTCAAATATATCAACACTTGGAATTTTATCTTTTTCATTGAGTGAGCTTTCATTCATTACTATTCCTTCAACAGTAACATCGATACAGAATCAATCATTTTATAAATGTCATAATTTAGAGCAAGTCACATTTGAGGAAAACACAAATACACAAAAGCAAATTGGATATGAATCATTTTCTTACACATCAATTAAGGAATTTGTTTTTCCTTATAATTGTTATGTCCATGATGATATTTTTAGTCATTGTAAATCCTTAACAAAAATAACAATTCAAGATTCATCCACAGCTATATCTGTCAACACATTCAGTGGCTGTTTGAGCATTACATCTATCTCAACAAATTCAGATAAATATAATTATTCATTAGATCATTTATTCAACGTTGAGAAAACAAATCTTTATTACATTGCACCTCCATCGAATAGGCAGGACTATGTAGATAGTGTTAATTATTCATTGGTTGAAGAATTTTGTAACACAGCTTTTCTTAATAAAAACAATTTGCCAAATACTAATTTTAGCCATTATTGTATAAAAAGTGGTGTAGTTTACGATTTAAATAGTTATAATGTAATTAGTTGCCTAAAATATGTCCAACAAGTTATTTTAGATGACAATTCAAGAAGAATATGTAAGATATGTTTTTTAAATAAGAATATAATTGTTCAGATATCTCAAAATCTCATTTCAATCGAATTTGAAGCATTTTATGAATGTACCGTAAGTTTTACTGAGCAAAGATTTTTCCCGAGTTCCTTGAAATTAATTGAAGCCTCTGCTTTTCAAAATTCCAAGATTTCAAATAATATTTATTTCAATTCGAGTGAAGAGCTTATTATTCAAGATTCTGCATTTGAAAATGCCGTCTTTCAGAATGATGCTAATATTGCTTTTACCAATGTATTAACATCATTAGGAAAAAGATGTTTCTTTGGTGCTATGATAAAAGTGATTTCAATTAATATTCAGGGCTCAATTTCAATGTTGCAGGATTATTCCTTCGCGAATAGCAAATTGATCCAATTAACCATTCCATTTTCCATTAAATCAATTGGAACTTCTGTGTTTGAAAATTGTATAAATTTGACAACGGTCTCATCTGTGACAAGGATAAGTGTTCAATCTCTTGTGATACGACCTATTTTATTTTGTCCTAATATCGAGACGTTTGGTGAATTCGCATTTCTAAATTGCTGTAATCTATGGTCAATAAATATAGGAAGTAGCACCACAGTCAAGTACATTGGATCATATGCATTTCACAATATAACAAATCTTTATAGTGTAACGATTGGATTAACAGATGAAATATTAACAAATGAGACATTCTATAGCCCTAATTTAATGTCATTCAAGATAAATGATAAAAATAAATTTTATTCAACACAAAACAATTGTACATATAACAAAAATAAAACTGTTTTGCTATGGAGTACTCCTTTGATTGATAATTTGATAATTAATAGTAGCACGGAAATAATTTCAGATTATGCATTCTATAATAGAACAAAACTTGATTCAGTTACTTATTCAGACGATTATTCTGCACTTAAAATTGTTGGTCATTGTGCCTTTTCATTCAATCATATAAATTCATTTAGATTTTACAATAATATTACAATATTAGGCAATTTATCTTTTTATATGTGCGAATCCTTAACTTTAATCATTATCCCAGAAGGTTCTAATTTGGAATATATTGGAGACTTATGCTTTTATAAAAATGGATTCAGAATTATATCAATTCCTTCAAAATGTTCTTATATTGGAATGTTTGCATTTAAAGAATCAAAAAACCTGAACACTGTAAATTTTGCGGAAAATTCTCAATGCAAACAAATCAATTCTGGATTTCCTGGTTTTGCGCGTGGTAAAACTTCCAGGAAATCTTACATTAATTGATGTTTTATCATTTCAATATTGTTCCAAATTAGAAAGTATTAATTTAGAGAAACGACCATTAGAGAAAATTGGAAATTTTGCATTCATGTTTTGCACATCTTTAACAGAAATAATAATTCCATCTGCATGTCAGATAATAGGTCAACATGCATTTAGTTCTTCAGGAATTAAGATGATTGATTTTGGAGATACATCTTCATTAGAAATAATTGATTCAATGGCATTTTCAGGATGTAGAAATCTAGTTAATGTACAAATCCCTGCAAAATGCATGTTCATCAATGATCAAGCATTTGCATACTCAGGTCTATCAAATTTGAATTTTGAAAATAACTCAAGGTTAATATCAATTGGTGCAAATTCATTCATTTCAACTCATATTCAGTCTATCATAATTCCATCTTCTTGTAAATCAATTAATGAATCAGCTTTTAAGCAAACACAGTTATTTACGCTTGAATTTGAAGCAAATTCTAATTTAGAGATCATAGATAAATATTCATTTGGTATGACAAATCTTCAGAAAATTCATATACCTGCAAATTGCAAAATTATAAATGATTATGCATTTAATTCATGTATGAATTTGGGAGAAATAACTTTTGAAAAAAAATCAAAAATAACATATATTTCAATTACATCTTTTAATGAATGCGACAAACTAGAAATATTCATGATTCCCGATTCATATCAAACTCTAACTGATATAGTTAAATGTATTCCCAAATCTATTACCAAAATCGTTCTTCCGGACACAAATATTAATAATATCCCCGAAGAATGCTTCAAAGATTTTGAACATCTTGATGAGATTGTAGCAGATGAAAACACATACATTGAAAAAACAGAACAAGGAGCGTTTCGAGGCTTGAAAAATCTCAGACATGTATTTTTTAATTGTACAATTAATTTGGGAGATTATGCATTTGAACAGTGCTCTGGTCTAAATCAGGTTTATATCAGAAAAATTGAAAAATTTGAAAGTGGTTCATTCAATCGCTGTACAAATCTTTATAATGTTTCAATTTGTGAATTCGATGGAACAATCCCAAACGAGTGTTTCAAGTCGTGTGAGAATTTAATCAATTTTAACTCATTAGTTCCTATTAAACATATCGGAAATCATTCTTTTGATAGTTGCCGCAAAATTTTATTAAATATTTCTTCATTAATTTCAATTAAGAGTTTTGGTTTGCATTTATCACATATTGCCGAATTCCCTAAAAATATTGAATATATAGGCGAATCCGCATTTAGTCAATGCATTATAGATGAAACAAATATATCATTCTCAAATAGACTTACTTTAATTGAAGCAAATGCATTCCTTGAAACTAGAGGATTTGATAATGTTATATATTGCGGAAATAGGAAATTTAACAAAAAATATACTGTTTTTGATTCACGAATCAATATATATGTTTCATCTATTTATCCAATTGCGAAGTTCTATGGATTGGATGTGAAAAAGGATAATAGTATAGATGTGTGCTATGTAGCAGACCTATCTCAAGAGATTCCAATATATCGTTTAACTACATTAGATTTGCGTAAATTAAGGCGATGATCTGTATACTAAGTGTTTACATTAAACAATCATGGCATGAAATTCAAATGTCATGTATTTGAGTTTATTAGTAACACATTTAGTTTTTAGAGCGCTAATTTTTCGATATCCGCAGGATTTATTAAATTTATTGTGAATGTTTTTGTCTATATAAACATATTCCGCTCTATACTTAATGATTGATATTTTTGAGAGGTGATTTAAGAGGTCATAAATCATGTAATAACTAAATGAACACAGAATAAATACCCGTTTGATTGATGCCATTATATTAAGCACTATACATATGGTTAACAATTCTATTATTAATAAAAAAAAAAGTAAACAAACAGAATTTTTTAGCATTTTAATGACCAAAATTCTGGTGTGAATGAGTTTGGAATTAATGACAAATGTACAGATGCTGCAGAATTCAATCCGCAAATTGGACATTCATCTGTTACATTTGGCATATGAATAATGCTGCTTTCTTTGCCAGAAAGTTCGTATTCTACATCATCCAAACAATCTTTGTGGAATTGGTGTCCACAAGGGAAAGCAAACACTTGTCCATGTCCTAGGAGCTTTCTACATATGCCGCATTTGTTGGTAATAAGTATTTCAGTGTCATCACCATTCTTTGGATTGTTTTCGATCAATTGGTCAATGAAAGCCTTATTTGTGGCGAAATTATTGTTTAATTGTTCATTATCTTCTTCAATCTGAGATGAAATTGCATTGGCTACATTTGCAAAATCTGAAAATGCTTGATTTTCATGAGAAAATCTTAAATTGTTTGACATATTATCAATTAAATCTTTTTGTTCATGAGCTTCAAGAACTGGCTTTAATAATTGCAATGGAAGACCTTCTACACCTTCAACATGACTCTTGCATTGTAAGAATTCGTAATCCAAACCAAGAATTTTGGAAATTTCTGTTGCTTGAACCCAATCTTCAGAATTTTTAGCACGTTGATAGAGTATAAATGGTTCTTGTATATTTTCTGTATCATATTTGTAATCTAATCTCTGGCAAAGGATGGCATCCAAATTAGATCCTGTATTATTTGTTAATTTTTGAAGTACTTTAAGCTGATCTGATGATAATTTATCTAATATATCAATAATGAACGGAGTTGCAGAAGAACCTACAACTTCGTATACAATTGAAGCAAGTTCTGGAAATTGATAGAGAATAGAGCATATTTGCTTATCAACAAGAGGTGTAGTTTGAAGAATTCTACGTATATCATCCATACTCAATTTGCATTGTTTATAACATGGTATCATTTCGGCAGATAATTCATACGCAGGTACAAATCTCCATATTTCATTCTCTTTTCCGTTCTCGTATAAAGTATTATACAATGTGGTGAATTGAATAATGTGTTTGTTTCGTACTAATGAGTCTAAAAATAGAGGAGCTGCCATTGGAATTTTGTCATCTGAAATTGCTGAGAATTGAGTGAGTAAAAGACGCAAAAATAAGTCAGAACACATCGGATATTGGTGTAATAATGCTGTTGTATTGACAAATGCTTCAAATTGATTTGGAATTTTCATAATTTCATTCAATTTAGCAGGAATTTCGCTAATATCTGGAACTGCAACTGGAGGTGGTGGTGGTGGTTCAGTTTTTGGTGGTGGCGTATTTTTGACCTTTGGTGTTTTTCTTCCCATAGATTTTTAATTTTTTTTACCCCCTTTCTAAATTTTATTCCCCAAAATATTTTTACATGACCCTCAAATAAAAACCGTAAATTTTCTTTTGAGAGGATGAACGGAAAATTTGAGAAAGAGTAAGAAAAGTGACAACAAATTTTTTAATGCTACTTCCCGCTATATTTTTTGCGGTGGCAGCCAACTCAATTCCGTTTTCTTTTGGCGGAAAGTCAAATAATAAAAACACTGATGGCAACCAGAAGGTCTCTTTGCAGCAAGAACAAGCAGCAATAATTAATGGAAAACCTCGAAATACTCAAACACCAAAACCATCCATTACTAAGTTTAGAAAGCTATCGTTCAATCAAGCCGCTAATATCCCGATTGAATTCCCAACTGATACCGAAAATTCAAATAATTTAGCTGATGAAATTAAGAATCAATTAACGTCAACTCCGATGATCGTCTTTTACTCGGTTTTGAGCTTATGTATCATCATTGCAATTGGAATCTTTATGTTTTACAAAGATCCAGAAGATGAAGGTGTCGAAACAACCCAGGATGCTGTCATTGAACATCAACTCCAGGAAGTTTTGGATTCAAAGTTGGAAAATGAGACAATGGTCATTTAATTATGTTATGTTAAAAATTATTTTGTTCGTATTATTTTAAAACTATTATATTTTATATCTATTCTAAAATGCTTAACTTTTTTCCTGTTCGATTCAAAAATATGCTTAAAAAAATTGATGATTTTTAGAATAAGTTAGAATCCTTTGTATTGTTAGATGTATTTTAGCACAATGCATCTTTCTAATTAAAATCTATTTCCAATCTTCCTCTATAAAAGTTATAAAAAACACAATTGATGATCAAGTTGGACTACCTTATAGGATTGAAGCCTAGAACAAGAAAGTAACATCTTCAGAAAATGCTTATAAGAATTACTACATGTATTGGATGGATTCTCGCAGTTGGAACAGAAAAAAATTCTAAATCTAATTCATTTTATATTTTTTATGAGGGAAACATAATGTAGTGATGCTTCTGATTATAATTCTTTGATTAAGAAAAAAATAATTTCGTGAAATTGAAGAATAAACGTCTTTTTTATAAGATTTTGGAATGGAAACTGATGAAGTTATCTATAATTTAAAGAAACTACTTGAAATTTTAAATCCAACAGATAATAGAGAAGTTTCTGAGCCAGTTTCCAAAAAACAGAATCAATATGAAACTGAAAAACCAAATCCGGAAAATAGAGTCAATAAAAAAGCAGATACTAAACCGCAAAATGAAAGCAAACCAAAAAGAAAGAATCAAACTCAAACAAAACCAAAGCAAACTAAACCTAAACGCAATCTTCAAATAGAAAAGAGAAATAGGGAATTAAAATCTAAAGAGAATGAATTGATTTATGCAGAAAAAGATATTTCATTACAAAAATCCTTCTCTTTATGGGTAAAGAAGTTAAAGCAAAATTTACTCAAGAAATCTAAAAGGCCACATCATCATAATTCTCAGAGAGATCATCTTCATTCACACAAATCTCATGGGTCACCTCATTCTCATCATAATTCTAAATCTTCACAAAAACTTAATTCATCAAAATCTCAAAATCATCAACACAGAACAACAGAACAAAAATTTGATGCAACTGTTGAATTTTTGATCAATGCATTCAATCATCCAAAGAAAATTGTAGAATTTGATGATGATTACTCAGAAGAAGAACAAGCTCAGAATTCGCAACTCCAAGAATCATCAGAAGTTTACAGTACTGACAGATCACCAAATCAAAAGACTGATGTCAAAAGACCATCACCAAAATCTAAATCATCACAAAATACTTCGAAAAAATTGTCGAATTCAAGTAAGAAGTCGATGAGTCAGAACAGTGGTAAATCAGAAAAGCGTCGTGGTGTCTTTGGAGAATCAGATTCTGATGACATTGCAGATTTGTATTCAATTCCTGTCAAAAAGAACAATGAGCAGCCAAATCCCAAAGTAAAGAACTTTATTCCAAAAGAAATTGAAGAAGATGAAAGCAATGAGTTCTTCGTTGTTCAATCAAATCGCCATTATTATCGAATTCAAGAAGAGCTAAATGACACCATTTCTGCATACTTTGAAGAAGATGTTCCTGATAGAATTTGCAGACTTGATGATCAGAAGAAGTCAAAAGTCCAAAACAAGCCAAAAGAAGATAAAAAGAAGACAAGCAATATTGAAATAATTGCAAATGAATATGTTGATCAGCTTTCACTTGGATTTTCTTCAGATTCAATGCCCCCAAAGCAAGAAATGAAATCCCAACCAGTCCAGAAACAAGAAAAGCTTGTTAAACAAAAGAATTTAACTCAGTCGATTCCACCAAAGAAAGAGACAAAAGAAATTATTGAAGAAATTCAAAAAGAGGAGGAAGAAATCCATGAAGAAGAAGAATTTATTGAAATTGAAGACTTTAATAAAGAGAACATCAACAGTGAAGAAGAAGAGGAAGATAAAGGCAATGAAATTATTAATAACGAAGAAGAAGAATTGACTCCAATTTTCATTGATGATTCGGATGATGATGCTAAACACAACGAAGAAGAAAATGAGAAAGAAGAACAAAAAGAAAATCAGGAAGAAGAAGATCTTCAACATATGTTCGATTTCGATGAATCTGAAAATGAAGAAGAAGCCGAAGCTGAAAATCCGCAAAAACAAACAGTTGAAAAAGTAAATGATTCTAAACCAGAAGATAATAATAAGCAACAGAATATAAAACCAAATGATACTGATAATAAAGAAATTGATAACGAACCTGAAGATGTCGAAAAAGATGATTCAACTGAAAAAGAGATATTCCAGGATAAGCAACAGAATGTCAAGCCTGAAAATAACAACACACAAATGACAAAAGCCAAAGATGATAAACAAGTAACTACAGAAGCTGCTGACAAGAAACCTCAAGAATCTAAGCCAATTCCCGATGTTAAGGAACAAGCACCGAATAATACAGAAGTTTCTGAAGAAAACAAATCTTCTTCTAATGAAAATCCTTCACAAAATAAATCACAAGACGAAAATAATGCCAAAGAAATAGAGACTGAAAATAAAGTGATAGATGAAGATGAAGAATTTGAAATCATTTCAGATTCTGAACCTGAAAAAGTTGACAAGGATGCGACAGTAGATAATCAGTTAAATAAGGATTCTTTTGAAGTTTCGGATGATGATAAAGTAGATATAGTTATAGAGACGGATAGTAAAGAAGAAAAGAAAGAAGATGATGAAATAAAAGATGATTTCGAAAGTGATGGAGAAATTCATATTTCTGACGAAGAAAAGAAATCAGAAGAGAAAGAAGATTCAATTAATGTTTCTTCATTCTTATCAGATGATTTCGAAGATGTAGAAAAACAAGTTAATAATCAAGAGGAAAAGAAGCCTGAAGATAATAAGACAGAAACAAAGGATGATTCTAAAGGTGAATCTTTTTCGGACTTCGAAGATCCTACATCAGATATTGTAATTTCAGATGACTTTACGGACTGATAACTACTAATGAATTTTGTATAATTTTTTGTTTTGTTTTGTTTAATTTAAATTAAATTATTGTTTTGTTAAAAATACTCTTAAAAACTCACTGCCCATATTTCATTTGGATTAATACATGATTTTGGTTTTAATATTTAAATTTCTTCCCGAAAGAATTCAAAAATTACAATGGATAAAAAGATCATATTGTTTTGGTGATAGTGGTAGGATATATTAAGATATTTTGTTTACTTTTTTTTTCTTGGAGTCGTGAAATCTTATGCTCTTACTTTTATTTATTGGATTCTCGATTTCGTGGACCCCATCTTTTCATCAAGCATTCGCATCATACTATGCTAAATCACATTATCCGAATTTAACGAAATCTCAATATGAAAGTTTCATTCTTGGAGCAATGTACGCGGATGGTGTAAATAAAACAATATCTCATAAGGTAATACCTATGGTTAAAAAGATTAATTCTGTCACAAATCAAAGCAGCGATTTATATTGGTTTTTGCTTGGCATTTTCAATCATATTGCTATTGATACATTTGCACACGCTGGATTAGAAAACTCATTTATTGTACCAAAAGGCTTAAAGCATCACTTATCAGAAATTGCAACTTGTTCTTGGGCACAACACCATATGAAAACAAGATATTTCACTATACCAAGCGATCTTAAAGACCAAGTATCCGAAATTGGTATTAGTTTTAAGAGTAATTTCAGATATTTGTATCCGATTTGTTACTTTTTTGCAAAATTTATTCCTGCTCATTGGCTTTTCCCATTTATTCATAAGAGTCCATGCAACATCAAGTCTTATAAAGAAGCAGATTGCATGTTTCGGAGACATCTTGATGCAATGGTGAAAGCAGCTGAGAAAATCATGGCTTTATCGCATGATTCTACTTTAACACAGTTTGGAGTTAAGACAATTGTTTATGGTTATTTGAATAATATTCAATGTTGTTCAAAATCAGATGTTTTGGCTGAAATTAATGCTACCTTTGCAATTCACAATTCCAGATCTGAGCAATTATTAGATGATCGCCGTGTTTCTTTATAATATTAGATTTTATATTTGTATTTGTTTTATAAACATGTATATTTTATCCAGACATCAAAATAAATTTATAAGACAATATTCATTTTGTTTCTTTCACGCTTCATGAGCATCATTTTTATTGTCTCTAAATTTTCTTTTTTCAAGGGGATGGATTTGTTTGCCTTCAATGTAATTATACTAATTATATGCATGAGCCCATATTGATACACATTGCCTTATGAAATTCCTATAAACTTAATGTTATATGTTTTTGTTTCTTAAATTTTAAAGTGTCCGTTTCCTTAAAACTGGAACTTACTGAGACCTTAAACTTGAAAATTCGATGCTATTGTATTTCCCAATTTCGATATTTTATCGATAAAATAAAAATTTCAGAAATATTCTTATCGAAAATAGGCTATTGATTGTTTATAAAATAGCATTATGCATTTAAGAAATGAAAAGTATTGATTTGTTTCAACTACATCTTAATAAATAAGTGAAAATATGATAATATCGTTTCAAACTATAATATAGCACTTCAAAGTTACGATATCTGATATTGCCTTAATTATTTTTGCCCAATATCACTTCGAATTATATCCTGTATTTTTCAAATTGTGGAAAAAAAAATTGAAAAGTGGAAAAAAAATTGAATTGTGTACAAAATGAGTGTAGTAACAATTGCTAGTACATCTTTTCTTTAAATTGATTCAAATATTGTGTGGAAATTTATTTTGTTGGATATTTTATTTGGTAATTTAAATTTTCTAATGTTTAATCAAGACAGCGAAGGAAATAAATATTGTGAGTTGCGAAGCACATATGGATATCATATCGATTCATATAATGCATTATATCAGTTAAATGTGGAAAATAACGAAGAATTAAACTCAATTTACAAAATGATCAAAACAAATTTGATTGAATCAAAGAAATATCCCCACAAAAGATTGTAAAAGATATTTTAAAAATCATTCCATATAATTACCGCTATTCAAAGTCATATTTGAAACTTGCAAAACTCATTTATGATGATTATCACCTTAACGAGGTTAGCGACATTTTATTTATTTCTAACGACTTATTTTATAAAGAATATGGAATTAAATTAGACACATCTAATGGTTTCGAATTTACCAAAGATGAATATCTAGATATAACTTTTGAAAATACAATTCACCGAGCAATTATTGATAATGACAAAGAAAGATTTATATGCTTCACAGAACAAGAAGGATTTGATGAAAAACAAAAAGTTAAAAGTTGTTTGTATCCATTTTCTCCATCTGGTTATTCATTACTTGAGTTATGTTGTTATCATGGAGCTGTTGATTGTTTCAAATTTTTAAGAACAAAATTTAATTCAGAAATAACTCAATGTTGTCTAGAATTTTCATTTTTAGGAGGAAATCAAGACATCATGGGTGAATGTTTGAAAAGACAAAAACCAGATTTTGAATGCATGAAATATGCAATTATTTCACATAACATTGATTTTGTTTCATTCTTGATGAATGAATACAATATAAAGATTAATTTAGATAGTTGCATCACTTATAATAATCTTGAAGCATTTTTTGTTTATTTCGATCAGCCAAATGATTTTAACTATTTCTTCCATGATAGGAGACTAATACCGTTTTTCACAGAGTATACACTTTTTTCACGGACCACTATATGCTTTATTTATTCAACAATGTTCAATATTCCTTCTCTTTGCGAATATTTCCTTTCGCATGGTGCAGATATTAATGAAAAAGAAAAGCATGGATATACAGCTCTTCATTGTGCTGTAAATAATAATAGTAAGGAAATGTGTGAACTTCTTCTTTCACATGGTGCAGATATCAATTCAAAAGATAAAAATGGATGTACAGCTCTTCATTGTGCAGTAGCTAACAATAGTAAGAAAATATGTGAATTTCTTCTTTGTCATGATGCAAATATCAATGAAAAAGATAAATGGGGATATACAGCTCTTCATTGTGCTGTAAATAATAATAGTAAGGAAATGTGTGAATTTCTTCTTTCACATGGTGCAGATATTAATTCAAAAGATAAAAATGGATGTACAGCTCTTCATTGTGCAGTAGCTAACAATAGTAAGAAAATATGTGAATTTCTTCTTTGTCATGATGCAAATATCAATGAAAAAGATAAATGGGGATATACAGCGCTTCATATTGCAGTAAATTTCGGATATAAAGAAATTGTTATGCTTCTACTTTCATATGAAATCAATATTAAAGAAGAAGATAACAGGCACAAAACTGCATTTCAATATGCTAAAAGAAATAGTGAAATTGAGGAACTTTTTCTTCTATTTTATCCAAACATTAAAACAAATAGGATAAATAAAGAAAAAACAGATCGAAAAGCTTTCTTTTCTCTATATAATGAAGATGACGAGGATTTCATAGATAATTATAAATTTTCTTGAAAAAGCATTATCTGTTTCTCTACTCTATCAATGTATAACAATGTGTGCAGAAGAAGATGTAAGGATGTCATTTTGATTAATATGTACATGTATATATTAAGGGAGGCTTCCGACCAGAAAGCTCTCTCAATTTTTTGTGATGTTTACACCAAAAGTGAGATTCGTTAAGCGTTTTTCTCGTTGAATATTGAGTTTCCCGGATTTTGAGTTATTCATAAAGCTCCTCTATATTATACCCTATCTACTGATATGATTATTTTTGAAAAATCTCTTAAATCGACCTGCACTGAATTTTTTAGGGAAAATTCGAAATTTTCTAGGCCTTTTCTGTAACATTTTTTTACGGAATAAAATCCGAAAAATAATTTTTTGAAGAATCATTTGGGTAGAATACTTATCGAAAATTATATTTATTATAATTTTGGTCGATAAAAATAAGCGGATTCAAAACTGGCAAAAACCCTTTCGGCAATTTGTGGACGATTCCGAACCCCCTCATTTTTGAAATTTAATAAGAAAAATAGAATCTTTATTAAATATAGATTTTAAAAAACTTGGTTATAAATTACGAAATTTTCTCACTTGGGCTAAAAAGTGACAATTTGGTCGGAAGCCACCCTTAATTGTTCCAAGATTTTAATCAAAATGTCTGATGAAATTCATGAAAAAACCATTGCTCTCCTTAGAATGCAGAATCCTGATGAATCCATGAAGCAACTATATGACTTAATTCAGGCATATGATGATTTTCCATTAGTTTTATTCAATATTTTAGGAGATACAAATTTAGAAGACAACATTCGTTTTGTTTCTTTAACAACTTTATGCAATATGGCAGTTAATTACACTGACTGTATCAGCGAAGACTACTATGATGCATTCAGTCAAACAGCTTTTGAAGTTGCTTCGTCAATCTTCCTCGAAAGCAAGGAAAAGTTTTCAATATTTGCAGCAAGACTTATTTGCAATATAATTTATTATATCACATCAGATTATACTGATCAATTTCTCAATTTAATAGAAAATCTTTACCAAAACGAAAAAACAGTAGATTCAGCATTAGACTGTTTGATAGAATTCCAAAAGTTAGCAATGACATTGCCAGTAGAACTTCTTAGTCCCCTTTCTGAACTAATCACTTCGAATTTACAAAATCATGCTCTCGAAACTATACTTTACTATATAGAAGACGATATGCAGTATCTCATGGAGCATGCGTTACCTGTCATATTCGAGAACTACAGCTCATTTGACATCACAGGACTTTCATTTGCCGTTGAAATATGCACATACTGTTACATCAGGACATATGATGAGACATGTGCCGAATTCATAGCAAATGCGATCACATCTGACCAAGATGTAATCGCAACTTCATGTATTGACAAGTTATACGATGAATCATCCGGACTTTATCTACAACCAATCATAATCGATGCATTACTCAAACGCATAAGTATACCAAATCCGGATCCTCTTATAGATGATCTCTGTACATGGTCACAAGAGATACTAGTTACAACATCAAAAACTAATTGGGGCCAAATGAAGGATCAGGTGCTTTCTTTCATTGAAGAAGTAGATGATTACGCATATAAACTCAGATTACTTTATTGTTTCTTACCTGTTATGTCTAATTCTCATGAATTTTCAGAATTCATTATCCAAAGTTTGGAAACAGAAGCCAGAGGTGATGGAATATGTGCATTAGTTGCATTATCTCATTCTTGTCCTTCTGTTCGTGAAGAATCCATTGATTTGGTCCTACAATTGGCTACAGATGAAGATTTTTATGTTCAAAAAATGTCATTTTTCGCTTTAGGTGATTTTTTTAATGGAGAATTCAATGCAAGTGAAGAAAGATTGTTTAGAATGATCGAGATATACGAATGTAATGATGGTGAAAATAGGATAAGCGTTGTTTACCTTCTAAGAATGTTTGTTTTAAGGATGGAAGTTTTTCATTCATCTTTATTTGGTTCTTTCTTTGAAAGTATATTAGAAATAACTATTTGTTCATATACAGATATTAATTTGTACGTCGAATATGTTTATTTAGCTTCTGAAATGATTTCTAAGTGCGATGTTCCTTTTTGTGATGAAATTGCAAACATCGCAATGCATTTCTCCGAAGTATTGAAGAATTCTGATGATGAAGACATTTTGGCTTCTTGTATCGAAATATTAATGTCTATTTCAGGCCATTATCCAGAAAATATATGTGAAAGTGATATACCACTTAGAGCTACACTCATTGCAGTAGAATTTATAGGTCATGGAGAACTTGAAGCCAATTTTTGGAAATTAATTTCTCAAATGATCAAAAATTCTCCACCAATATTAAATCAATGTGGGGATTCTATCATTGAAAAAGCGCAGCATGAGTTTTCTTTTTCAAAGATAAAATCTTCTGAAATTATATCAGAAATCCTTCTTATAATGGTTGAAAGTATGAATCTCGATGTTGTTGAATACTTTTGTCGTGCATGTGCTAGTATTATTAGTGCTGCTCCAAGTCATAACATGATTTTTAACAAGTTGTTTACATCTTTGAAGGATATTCTTGTCAAGAACTATCGTTATATAGAAGATATTATGTTATTTTAATAAAAAATATATGTTTGTATGTATTAATATATAAATTTAGTATAAACTTCATATTTCAAAAGGTGTATTTTTGTGAAAATAACAACACTTGATAGAATTTCAATGTGCTCTCAAAATCATAATTACAGAAAGAATTATATTGAAAAGACTAAAAAATGCATATCATACAACCACGATAACATTGTTGATGACTCAAATTTGGGCGTTTAATATTCAGAAAAAAAATGAGAGAAAAATTTGACAATTCTCTCACAAATAACGTATATTTTTGTGACCATATTGAAACTTTTTCGAGCGCTTTATAACAAAAATACAAATTTTGCAGTAGAATGCAAACATTTTGACACCTTATTGACTTCATTCAAAAAGTGTAATACTGATAAGAATTTGTTTTAAATTTCCAAAAAAATTCAATCAAATTTTATTCTGATGAATAAAATTTCCATAATTCCAAATGTTGGTTGCATTTCGTGCGCTTCCATTTTTAATACTTCTGCTTCTATTTTTTTATGGCCATTTATTTAAAAAACATGCATCAAAGTCGTTCACAAGTATGATTCAAAATATAAACAATGGAAATCATTTCAAATCATTCCTTTCTCAGCAACCAATGATTTCTTATTTTCTAATTGAGGAAAAACATCTCGGATGCGATGAGGACATTCTTCAAAATAAAGTCAGATACAATTTTAATTATGGATCATGGGAATTACAGTCGATCAACATTCCAAATGAAGAAAATCAAACAGTTGTTTATCGATTGAAAGAAAAGTACATATTAAACGAGGAAACAAAGGAAAGTTTAAATAATTTTTATGAAAACACAGTTAGTAATAAAATAAGCATATCTGATCGAATTATAAGCAAAGAATCTGACGAACGTTTAGTTTGCTTTAACAAAAAGAATTCAAAGATGATCAATTTCTTGACAGGCAAATATGGGCAATATTTATATACAATCTTAGATGCATTTAATTGGGGTATAATTTATGAAAATTTGTTCATTAAACAAGCTGATAAATATGTTGAAATTTTGGTTGAAAAGAAGATTTCAATGAATGAAGCAGAGTTTCAATATAAATTCAATAAAAATGCTCCTGGAATAAATGATCTGCTCCCTGGATCGGAATATGATGGTATTATTAAACCTAAAGGAATTGTAGTGATTTTTTTGTTGCAACTCTTATGGTGCTTAACAAATGTAAAAAAAGAGTGACTTTCTAGACGGAGCGAAACAATGTCTCAAAAGTGACCATATTTTGGAATTCATGTAATTCTAAATTTGTTGGTTTGAATGAATCACAAGATTAAATTTGAATATACAAGAATTGTAAAATAAACACTCAATCCAATAAAATAAACAGCTATTTTTATAATATAGAACTAATAAATCGAATCATGTTAATGAGTTTCACAAAGAACTTCTATTGATATTTGTAAGATTTGCTACAATGGGAAATACCTCTTCACTATGCAGCATTAGGCAAAAATTAATGAAAAAGATGGAAACGGAAAAACACCCTTCATTTAGCAGATGATTACCGTATAGAAACAATTGATCTTCTTATTTCACATGGTGCAAAAATTAATGCAAAAGATAATAATGAGAAAACAGCTATTCAATGTTCAATATGCGGAAAGGATTCACCTTCAGATCGCATAATAATAATACTGTTTTCCAATATGATCCACAAAAAATTGGAACTGCATTCGGAATTTTATATTTTGGGTATTGTAACCTATTCATTATAAAAAAAGTATTTTCATATCTTACAAGTAAATAATATAAAAAAATTATTGTTCTGAATTGACACACTGTCATTAAATCTTTCCGTTGGATATTCTTAGTGATTTTTCCATATTTTTTCATCTTTTTCTTTGATATGCGCCATGTGAAATAAGTAGATCGACTATTTCTTCACCATTAATTCTTGCAGCACGATGAAGAGCAGTTTCTCCATCTTTATCTTTTGCATTGATATTTGCACCGTGTGAAATAAGAAGTTCCACTATTTCTTTACTATTATTACTTGCTGCATAATGGAGCGCTGTTTCTCCGTAATTATCTTTTTCGTTGATATTTGCGCCATGTGAAATAAGAAGTTCAACTGCTTCTTTACTATTCTCACATGCTGCATAATGAAGAGCTGTACATCCATTATTATCCTTTTTATTGATATTTGCACCATGAGAAAGTAAATATTCGCAAAGGGATGGAATATTGAACATCGTAGAGATAATAAGGCATTGATCAACATCATTAGTTTGATCGAAATATACTAAAAATGTTTCAAGATTATTATGCCAAACGCAAGCACGTAAATAGATCTTCATATCGTACTCATTCACCAAGAATGTAACAAAATCAATGTTGTGTGAAATAATTGCATAAATCATGCAATCTTGATTTGGTTTTTGATATTTCAAACATTCGCTCATGATCTCTGGATTTCCTCCTAAAAATGATAATTCCAGACATGTATCAGTCACCTTTGAGTTAAATTTTGTTCTTAAAAATTTGAAACAATCAACAGCTCCATGATAAGAACATAATTCAAGTAATGAATACCCATAGAAAGATTGCGGATATAAGCTACTTTTTAGTGTTTGATTTTGATCAAATCCATCTCTTTCTGTGAATACAATGAATGATTCTAAGTCATTATACATAATTGCTCTGTAAATTGTCTTTTTTGTATGAATTTCGAGATTTTCAAATTTAATTTTTTCAAAAAAAGAGTCGGATGTGTTTAATTTAATTCCGTATTCCTTATGAAACAGGACGTTTGAAACGCTTTCAATATTTTTGACCTCTGTAACATTATAATCATCAATTGCATGTTTGGCAAGTTTCAAGTATGACTGTGCAAAACGGTTATTATACATAATAATATTCAAAATATCTTTTATAATAATTTGGGGGAGATATTTCTTTGAATCAATCAATTCTGTTTTGATCATTTTGTAAATCGAGTTTAAATCTTCCTCTTTTTCGGTTTTTAACTGATATAACGCATTATATGAATCGATGTTATATTTATAGATATTTTGCAGTTCACTGAATTTATTTGGATGAATGTTTTGATTAAATTCATCATGCTTAGGTATATTATCAAATAAAATGTTTTTGGAATCATTTTCGACTATACAATTCTTATCATGTCATACATGAACCTAATCAAAATTCATACATTAATGCCAATATAAGGCTCAATGTGCGCAAACTTCGTGTGTGTAAAAATATTGCAAAGCAGGTATGTCTTCTGCATCAGGTATTTTTTTTTCTAATTATATTGAAATTGTTGTCAAGACTATGGATGGAAATCTTCTTTTCCTAGGGGAAGTGAATTCAATACAATTATCATTTTGTTGGACATAATAGATTTTTCATATATGAAATTATCGATCTTAATCATATCCCTAATTGAAAGTTGTAAATCACTGTATACAAACATCACGAATTGCATAACCTATATTCGGATATGGCCATTACAAAGGAATCCAATCTAGAAATGTAAAATTTCAAATAATTTCATAAAATAATAAAAAACATTCTATTTAGGTCATTTATTTGATCATACTTGCCTCATAAGAAAGGTTTACAGCGAAATTGTAAGAGTTTGCATCTTTGCTTGATCTGAATTGATTGATTATAGTTTTATCATAATATTCAGGTAGTTTGGAAATCCAAATATTTTGAAAAATTCAAATATCTTGAGCACTCTGAGCGGAACCGATGCCATTTCAAAATTAACAAAAAGATCCTAAATAATTTGCGATAATAAGAAATTAAATGGTGTAAAATTGTTTGATACATACGTTGACAGCAAATTCTGAATTCTCGGCCATTTTTGGTTGTGTTACTTTGATCGGAGATTTTAGATGATCGCAAATGCATTGAATCTATTTGCGATCTCTCATCTAACTATAATGGTCTCTATGTCGTTGATTGAGATGATTGGATTTGTAGACTCAATAATCATAAAAAGTAAAAATCAATTTTGTGATGGCTCTATAACTAAAAGTAAAAATTAAAAAATAGATGAATATCATAACAAATACAAATTTACATAATCTAATTAGTGGCGTAAAATTAAATTACAACAAAATTGCCTACCAAAGAAGTCCTGTAAAGCCTTTGAAATTGTGCAACCTTTGAACTGATTTATCTTTGGAGTTATCGTCTATTTCTGGTTGCTCTGTTAATAATTGAGGTTCAATTTGCTTATTTCCTGAGAAAAATGACGTTCTTAATATGCTGCGATTAAACAAATTGGATATTGCATTGCCACTCGCAAATTCATGAATTGAAGGTAAAGAAAATAATCGGGGAGTTGTTTTTTCGACTTTTTTCTCTTCCTCAGGAGGTTTCTGTACTAATTCTTGTTTTGGAACTTCTGGTTCTGAAGCATCATTTGGTTTTGGAGGTCCAATATGAAAATGTTGAGCGAAAGCTAAACCTTTGCTTACAAGTTGAGACCACCTATTTTTAATGTTTGCAGATGAACGCCGAGGGAAGAACTGAGCTATGTGAATCCATTTTTTCCCGAATAATTTCTGTTTTTCGATTAAAAGTTGATCTTCTTGGGGAGTCCATTTATCGTTGGCCAATCCAGGAGCAAGGTAGTTAATATATCGTTCTCGACACTGTCTTGGAGATCTGGTCCCCATTAAAGAAGAAATGGTTTTCCAGTCTTCAGAATAGGCCATAACGAGGTTGTGTAAACGAACATCCTCCTCTGGGGTAAATACATTGCGTTTCAGTTTTACCTTATGGTTGCCTTCTTCACCCATATACTTTTAAAATTAGAATATTCAAATAGCGGACGATTTTTAAATTTTGAATAAATCAATGAAAAACAAGTTATAGGCTTGCGGGTTATCACTGACTTGTGCGATAATTCAACTTATTTTGAGGAGTGTAATTTATCGAGACATTCAAATTTTCTATTTGAAAATCTATATCCTACATTAGAAGATTATCAAAATTATTATATTTTTAACAAAAATTTTTTCGATCATTGATTTTATAAATTCAATTTTTCAAATGTATTACAAGTAATAGGATTATATTTCAAAGTAGATACGATTATATTTAATTGAATATAAACGATTCTGAATTCTATTACCTTATAAAAGTGGCAATTTATTTCCCTCTTTCTGGTCTCAAAGGAAAGGAAATAAATAGAAATAATTTAATTTTCATGATCAAAATGATGTTGTATGAGCATTTTAGTAGTTAACATTAGTTAACGATTAGGATAGAAGTGATTCCACCTTGACCCCCATTCATGGGTGTTAGAATTCATACTACAAATGCAGTGTCCAATAGCAATATTATTCCTTATATTAGTTTAAAATTCTATCACTTTTTGCTCTCAATTATATTGGAAATGAAAATGAAATATGATTTTATCGAGTATTTTTTATAATATATCAAAAATTATAATTAAATGTTTATTAAATAAATCCTAATTATAAATATTTATTAATTTTAATTCAAAATTTTGAATATCAAGGAGATATAGTTAATTTCAAGAAAGATGATAAGAGATTTTATCAAGTCTTTTGGAAAAGGGGAACTTCGTCGACAACAAAGGTATCGACCAAAATTGTTCCCGTTGTGCTTGGCATATGAAGTATAGTAATAGTGTGTATGGACTCATAGAATGACTTGTGTTTGATTTTGTTACATTCTTAATGAATGAATAGAATTTAAATATCAGCTTTGATTCTTGCGTATAAAAGAAGTAGTAATAAGCAGCGACCAATATTTGCAAACATATATTTAGTAAGTTCTAACTAGCTTATACAATGGAGTATGCTCCCGGATACAACAATCATATGATCTCATTTTATAATTTACTCCAAACATTCACAAAACAATGGCAGGTAAGTATCAAAAACATGAATTGCTAAAATCATCTTCAAAATATCAATAATATGAATGTTTTGTTTACACTCTGAAATAGTTGGAATAAATATGTTGATACTGAAGTAATTCGTATTTCGACAAAGAAATGGTCTACTTTCCTTGTCTTTTATCGGATGTTTCAAAATTTTTGAAATTTCCACTCAAAAGATAAGGAATGTGGACCTTTCTTTGAAGTGCTTTCGTGGTATGAACGATAAAGTATATTATCTTTTGTTTTTGAATCAGATAGCATTTATATTTCGAAAGTCAGACCCAATAACAGATAGTGATAAACTTTTGCATGCTTATATTTGTAAATTATGATTTCTTAACATAGGGACAATATCATTGTTGCGGAAGAACAATTAAAAGCCTTAAGAAATAGAAAATCGACAAAAAAAGGATCAAAAAGTTATTTTTTAATTTTTAATTTTTTTTTAATTTTAATTTTATTTTTTAAAAAAATCGTGCAGCTTTACATGTCACTTTGTGAAATCGTAGCACCATGTGAAACAAGAAAATCAGCTAGGCCAGTGCGGTACTTTTCTCTTGCAATGTCAAGAACTGTTTTTCCATCTTAATCTTTTTCATTAATATTTATACCATGTGAAATAAGAAGTTTGGCTGTATCTTTATCATATTGGTTTGCTGTACAATGAAGAGCTGTTTTTCCATTATTATCTTTTTCATTGACATTTGCACCGTGTGAAATAAGAAGTTCGGCTATTTCTTTACTATTTCTTCCCGCTGCTTTATGAAGAGCGGTTTCGCCATTATTATCTTTTTCATTAATATTTGCACCATGTAAAATTAGAAGCTCAGCTATTTCACTATAATTATATTGTGCTGTTTCATGAAGAGCGGTTTGGCCATAATTATCTGTTTCATTGATGGTTGCACCATGTGAAATAAGAAGTTCGGCTGTTTCTTTATTATTAGAAGATGCTGCTATATGAAGAGCGTTTTCTTTATTTTTATCTTTTTCATTGATGTTTGCCCCATGTGAAATAAGAAGTTCGGCTACTTCTTTACTATTAAATTGTGCTGTTTCATGAAGAGCGGTTTGGCCATAATTATCTGTTTCATTGATGGTTGCACCATGTGAAATAAGAAGTTCGGCTGTTTCTTTATTATTAGAAGATGCTGCTATATGAAGAGCGTTTTCTTTATTTTTATCTTTTTCATTGATGTTTGCACCATATGAAATAAGAAGTTCGGCTACTTCTTTACTATTAAATTGTGCTGCTTTATGAAGAGCGGTTTGGCCATAATTATCTGTTTCATTGATGGTTGCGCCATGTGAAATAAGAAGTTCGGCTGTTTCTTTATTATTAGAAGATGCTGCTTTATGAAGAGCGGTTTGGCCATAATTATCTTTTTCATTGACATTTGCACCATGTGAAATAAGAAGTTCGGCTATTTCTTTACTATTATTTTGTGTTGCTTTATAAAGAGCGGTTTCTTCATCATAACCTTGCTCATTGACATTTGCACCATGCGAAATAAGAAGTTCGGCGATTTCTTTATTATTAGAAAATGCTATGTAATGAAGAGCAGTATCATCATTATCATCTTTTTCATTGACATTTGTACCGTGTGAAATAAGAAGTTCGGCTGTTTCTTTACTATTATATTCTGCTGCTATATGAAGAGCGGTTTCTTTATTTTTACCTTTTTCATTGATGTTTGCACCATATGAAATAAGCAGTTGGGCGATTTCTTTATTATTATTAAATGCTGCTTTATGAAGTGCGGGTTCTCCATAATTATCTTTTTCATTGACATTTGCACCATGTGAAAGGAAGTATTCGCATAGGGATGGAAGACCAAATGTGATTGAATAAATAAAGCATCTGTCGACATCATTAGTTTGATCGAAACGAACTAATAATGATTCAAGATTATGATATTTTTCGCAATCATATAAAACGACATTCATATCGTATTCATTCACCAAGAATGTAACAAAATCGATGTTGTGTGAAATAATTGCATATTCCATGCAATCTGCATCTGGCCTTTGATCTTTCAAACATTCATTCATGATCTCTGGATTTCCACCTAAAAATGAAAAATGAAGACATTTTCGAGTTATTGGTGAGTTAAATTTTGTTCTTAAAAACTTGAAACAATCAACTGCTCCGTGGTAACAACATAATTCAAGTAATGAATATCCTCTGGGATTAGGTGGATATAAGTAGCTATGAAGTTTTTGATCTTTATCAAATCCTTCTCTTTCAGTGATTGCAATGAATGCTTCTATGTTGTTATTCATAATTGCTCTGAAGATTGGATTTTCTAAAAAGGTTTTGAGTAATTGTTCTGTTTCTTCTGTTTTGCTCAATTTAATTCCGTATTCTTCATCAAAAAGAACCACAGAAAGCGTCGGAATATCAGGTACCGTCGTTACGTGAAAATCATCAATAATGAATTTTGCAAGTTTCAAGTATGACTTTGTATAGCGGTTATTATAAGGAATGAAGTCCAAAATATCTTTTACAAGATATGCTGGGCGATATTTCTTTGAATCAATAAGTTCTGTTTTGATCATTTTGTAAATTGAGCTTAAATCTTCTTCATTTTCCGTTTTTAACTGATACAATGCAGCATATAAATCAATGTAATTTTTGTTGACACTTCACAGTTCATTGTATTTCTCTCGACGAATGTCTTGATTGGACATTTAAAAATTTTAAAAGTCCGAAATCGGCATTTTACCTCATTAAATATCTTTTTAATCCATTATAAGAAAATAATTCCATGCTAAACATGTTGAAAACAATGTACACAAAGATTTCGGAAATAACACTAAAAAAACAAAATATATTTGCATTCTATTAATGTGGCCGTTTCTGGATGATAAACCCAAAATCTGGGGAGGGTTCTTGGGGAAAAAATAATCTTGTCTTAAAAGCAGGGAAATAAATAAAAATAATTTAATTTTCTTAAGGGTGCACACGAGAGGATCATGTAAACTTCAGAATTTAGAACCTTATTTTTATTGCATATTCATCGAGAAAATAAACTAACGAATCCCTCAAAATTGAGAGGGTAATCCTCCTCCTCTCAAATAAACGTACATACGGGTGCACCCTTAATCAAAATGATGTTATATGAGCATTTTAGTAGTTAATATTAGTTAACGTTAAATAAAAATTCAAACCACTTTTTTAAAAGCAATATACTTGTTATTTAATAGTACTCGTGAAAACCTTCAAGAATATCATAAATGCATCTTTTGAGTTCTCATATTATCAAAGAAGAATTCTCTTTATTAAATCAGATGTCTTATAAGTCTTTACAAAAACAAAATACATTCAATATTATATTCAAAATAACACATAAAAGTTGAATCATTATTAAGAATAAGAAAAAAAACAAATAATAGCTTTATTCACTATCTTCAGCGTGCTGACTTTCATCTGCAGTTTCCATTGATTCGGTTGCAGCTTCATCATTTTGTTGATTTTGATCTTCATCATCATTTATTTTATTTTGATCATCATCATGCGGTATATTTTCTGTAGAATGTCCCGATCGATTAAGTTCTGGCGGTCTATTTGCCAAATGTTCATTTAATTGAGTTACTGCAGTTTCTAGTTTTATTTTTAGTTCTTCATCATGAGAATTTGGTTTCTGTTCGTATTGTTTTTGTGTCAATGTAGCAATATCGCATGCCATGAATGTAATCATCGAATTCTCCCCATTAAATAATTTAGCATTTTCGTATATTAGTTTAACATCATCAACAAAGTCCTTTGCTGTTTTATATTCATTCGAATGAAGTTTTTTCTTGATTGTAGATAAATCAATTGGATTTTTAACAATTTCCAAATAATTAGGGGCGCCATCTTTAATTGGATCGACTGGAGCTCTAAACTTTGTTGTTAAAGGCCACTTCATCAACTCGCCTAGTGTTTTAGAACACCATTCATGATCATATGTTCCTGTGCTCATTGAAAAAATGGCAAAAATAAAATGTTTTTAAATGTTTTTTGCACACAATTCAATGATATAATAACGTGATTTAATCGCATGAAGTTCTATTTTAGATAAAAGATAAGGAATCTAATAACAATGAATTGTAAGTTATCATTACACTATTAACGCATATGCTTCATAAAATTTAATATAGAATCGCTGATTCATCTATAAATGAAATTTTAACAAATTGGACATGCTTTTAGCATGCATAGAATTGTATGCTAAACATAAAAGCAGCCACTCAAATGTTAGCAACAATGAGGGTGAAACAGATTTATGAAGTTTATATAATATTATTGCAAAGCTTAGTTTTGGGGAATTAACTAGTTTTATTACAGCAGAAACACTAAGATAAGGCTATTTTTAATAATTTAAAGATATCAAACATTCTGCTTCAGTTTAACTCACTAATTCAAAATCAATTTATGAAAGATGCCGTCATTTAAGACGTCATGGAATATAATATGAAAGTATGTTAAAATTTATGTGGACAAAACTCTCGGCGTTTAATTTTGAACCTTACTCAGAATGTTTCCTGCATCAGCAAAAAATTTAAGGGTGCACACGAGAGGATCATGTAAACTTCAGAATTTAGAACCTTATTTTTAGGCATTATCTTGGCTACCTATTTAGGCTCGAAAAGCAAAAAATATCAAAAAATACAACTTGACTCCATTATGACCCTTTCATGGAGGTAGTTTTTATCCGCTAGTATTTTCCCTTTAAATCTCTTTACAATTCGAAATCAAATTCAAAACTCAGTAGAAGAAAGGAAGAATCGACTTACTACGGTTGTAATACGAATAAATACATATATTTAATTATTTTTATTTACATAATAATTGTTTGAAGCTCATATTCCATCAAATTTTTAAATAAAAACATTAAAATGTTGAAAATGTTCATATATTTTAATAGGGTTTTGGCACTTTATTGAGGAATTACTACATACATGGTCGAACTGAACTTGATATTTTGAAATTTAAATTATTTATCAAAATTAAAATTTAACTTGAAATTTATAATTATTTAGTCATATTTTGCATAATTCTAAGTAGATTTTGTAAAAAATCAAGAAAGAAAAAATTTAACGTGCTTTATTTTTTCTTTTTTATAATAATACATATTATTATATAATTAACATATTCATAATGTTTCACCCTTTCAAAAATATAATCCTCCTCCTCTCAAATAAACGTACATACGGGTGGCCTCTTTTTTCAAAAAATTAAAATTTGAAATTTTGGGCTCAAATATTAGAGATTTTTTCAACCTTCAACGATATATGTTGTCTATATCAGACCTCCTTTCTTTTTGATACTTAACATTGTTCCTAAATCTTATCCGTTAAGGCTGTTCTGAAAATATTTTTTTTCGAAAAAATTCGAAAAAAATTCTTAAAATTCAAAAATCCCTTAATTCCTGAGGATTTTGGAAAAAAGTTTTTACATGAACATGTGTATATTATATGAAGTATATTGATAAGGTAAAAATCAAATTTTATTGCATATTCATCGAGAAAATAAACTAACGAATCCCTCAAAATTGAGAGGGTAATCCTCCTCCTCTCAAATAAACGTACATACGGGTGCACCCTTAAAATCAAGGAAAAAAAATCAAAAAGAAAGTGAAATGAGATTTCAGATAATGAATATTTAAAAATGATAAATGATTCTTCGTTAGAGAAATGCTACATGCAGAATACATTTTAAAAACAGAAAAGCTGACATAATTAAGAAATGAATTTATTCACTTTATTTTTTCAAGATTTATCGTTCAATTTCAATCAAGAAGTATACATAAGCTATGATCAAATAAACTACTCGCATAAATCGCATACGAAACAAGCAAATGGATACATTTATCTGACCAACAGAACGAGCTTTAAATATTTGGAGAAATTTACATCTAGTATTCTATTCAAATCAGAAAATGATGTGATATTCACAACAGGCAAGAAAATTGATTCAAATTTCACACATTTAATAAAAGAAAAATACAAAAATAGAATACTTCCAACAACATTAAATAGTGAAACATATGCTACTCCATTACCAGTTCAATATTACATAGAAAATACAGGTCAACAAACAGGAATTCCAAATGAAGATTTGAATATCACATCTGTATGGAAACAAAACATATATGGGAATAATATAAAGATTACTGTTACTGATAATGGATGCATCCCATCTGATCCAAGCATTTCAAAAAAATATGATGAAGCAAATTCATGGAATTTTGCTGAATCTTGCCTTACATTAGCTGTTTCTGATCCATACTGTAAAGAAGTACAACCGAATTACTCCGATGAATACTTCTTTCATGGGACATCTTGTGCTCATCTCGCCGGAGGATCAATGGATAGTAGATGCGGGCCAGGAATAGCACCCAAATCATCTATATCATGCATGAAGCTCGACGAATACTTAAATACGCATAATATGAAAGCTTTAATATCAATGTTATCAAAAATAAGAAATGTTGACGTAAATACTAATTCATGGGGTCCTGCATGTGATTTAAACAAAGATTTGCAAACAGCATTTTGTCCGCAATCAAGAAGACTCGAAGTTTATCAGAAAGCACTAGAACATACGATAGAAACAGGGAGAAATGGTCTAGGAACAATTATATTGTTTGCAGCAGGCAATGAAGGACATTTAGGAGATGATACTTCTTTCAAAATTTTAAATTGTGAAAGATATGTCATCGGAGTTGCAGCTTCAACAAATGAAGGCACTCGAGCTTTTTATTCTTCAAGAGGAAATTCTATTTTGGTTAATGCTCCAAGCGGAGGACGAGATTTTTACTCATATTCTGAAGAACATCTTCCAGGAATATATACAACAACAGGGTTTAAGTGCATGTCCAACTTTTCTGGAACATCAGCAGCAGCACCACAAGTAGCAGGAATCGTAGCTTTGATGCTAGAAGCAAATCCAAAATTATCATGGCGAGATGTTCAAGCAGTTCTCGCTATTACAAGCACAATCAATGATCCAACATGTCCATCATGGACTAAAAACAAAGCTGGCTACTACCATTCGCCTTATCATGGTTTCGGAAGAGCAAATGCAGGAAAAGCAGTAAATTTGGCCAAAAATTGGAAAAATTTACCAAACGAAACTACTCTAAAAGCAGAAAGATTGAACTTGGAGATATACCAATGTAGAAGCCCGGCTCATGATATATATTTGACGATAGAAAAAGACGATATAAATTTCATAGAAACCGTCGAACTTGAATACGAGCTAACTAGCAATGCTGTTGGCTTTTTAATGATAGATGTCGAATCTCCGAGTGGTACTAAAGTGAATGTTAAAGAAAATTCGATCCAAGAAGATATTGAAGTAAAATACACAAAATTTGTTTTAATTAGAGACTTTTTCGGAGAAAATGCAACGGGAGACTGGAAAGTATCCTTCAAAACAACTGGTTGCATACCAATTGTCCAGTTAAAGTCACTGAGAATCATTGTTCATGGAATGAAAAAATTTTATTTCAGAAGTTTACAAAAATTTGGTAAAAAATACCACAATTTTCTTCCAAGTCGATCGAAACACTTCAAGATAAAGGAGAGAACGATCATTTCTGAGTGTTGTAAGAACATTACATTGCATGCAACATATATAGACAAAGAGATCTACAATAAAACAATTGCTTGTTTGCTAATTGATGAAAAAGGAAGAAGAATGTCAATAGGAGATATAAATTTGACAGAAAAATTTGATATAAAGTTCCCTTGTATCTTCCAATCAAAGAGATTCATTCTGGCACTTGATTTACTAGAATACAAAGAAAGAGTCGCTATTTCTGTAAAAATTTTGCCACGTAAAAATGTAATTGAAGAAGGATTTGTCAAACCGCAAAAATTTGACACAATTATGACAGATAGTACAGAAAATACTACAGTTGATGTTAAATGGCAGTACTTTATGGACAAAGTTCCAAGATCTCTTTGGGGAAGTAGCGCGATTCTTTCTATATATGACTATGACAGAAAATCCATTCTTTACACAAGAAGAATTTTCAATACTGGAGAATTTAATTTGACATTGAGTCCGAAATTTAGTTGTCCTCACTGTGTTTTAGTTCTTACACCTGTACATCATTCATCTGATAGTACTTGTACAACATTCACGCAACCAGTTCATATAATAAAAGATGATGATGACAAGCCAAATGATTGGAATCCTTTCGGTTTCGATCCTTGTGAAAAAAGAATGATTAAAAGAAAAAGTGATATGTGGTTACTTGATGATGTTTTGTTGAGACCTGATTTCGTATTTTTAATGTTCTTCATCGGTTTTGTTATATTGATATATAAAGCTGCGTTAGAAAGGAATAAATACACCAGAATCAAACCCAAAGAGTTCAGCGATTTAGAAATGTTGGTTAAACTAGAATCTGACTCGGTGGAGTATGAGGAACAACCATAGATTGTTATTATTTTGTTTATTGTTTGTAAAATGTAATTATATTTAATTTCAATACAATTTTATTACAACATATGTTCAATTTCATCGAATGTTTGGTTTCAATACTCTAGTTAAACTAATACACGCATCAGAGAGAAAATATCGATTGAATTAATTCAAAATGATATTTCACACAAAATTAATTTCAATCATTAATAAGAACAATAATAAAAAGGTAATGTATAGTTGATAATGCATTTGGGTATTAATTTTTAAAGGATACGGATTTTATATTTAAAACAAAAAAAAACATAATAATATATTTATTTAATAGGTCATACTGAACTCCTACAATTAGAGGAAGGATGTTCTCGTCGCAATTCTCTTTCTTTTTTTCAAGAATAAGTGGTCAATAACTTTGTTTTCATTAGAAACAATTTATCTTGCTTCCCCAAGATCATAGGTATATATCCCAGTTCTGTATGGTGCTAAATCAAATTTGATGTTAGTATTAGAAAGTTTTCTGGTTAATTTTGTGAAACTTCGATAACAATTATTTACGGTAGGCTTTGTTATCTTGTGTGCTCAATGCAATGCAGTTGTTTGGATCGTTTTGGATAGGAGATAATAAATTTGTCGAAATATGCTTAAAAATGCAGGCCAAAAGACAATGATTTGAAGTAATTACGATTGGGTCTAAGAGTATATAGTGTTAAGTCTCGGTTTTAAGAATTGATAGAGTAAATTCGGATAAAATTTTCTGAGATATTCGCTTTTCACATACTCAATGGAGCCATCATCTAATTTTACTTTATAATATACGTAATCTTCTTTCCTAAATCCATCCAAAATTTGTAAAACTAATAAATCATCTGAAATCGATTCCAGAATGTTTCTATTAAGATTTTCGTTTTTAGGCTTGTTTTCCATTTTCTTTTTAAGATCTTCTGCATATTGCGCAACTAATTCGTCACATCCCATATTTTCTTCAAGAACCCATGAATTTTCACTATCAGGGAATCCCACCCACTTCACATAATACATTTTTGATTTCGCAATCTCTCTATGACATATAATTTTCTCAACTTCAAATACATTTTCATCTTCCATAATTGTTATTTTAGGGGGTAATAAAATAAAAAAAAATTTTGATGTCTTATAATACTGTAATTAGCTCAAAAGTACATGTATTTCAGTTCATTGAAGGCAATGTTAAAGACCATGGAAGTGAATTCGAAATAAAGATCTTCCAAAATAAGAATTTTGATGGTAGATTCCAACTTGTACAGTCATACAGCCAGGAAATCGTTCTTGAAGCTGCAATTCGAGATATCCTTAATGTACAATATATTAGTGCAGAGCAAAAAGCCTTCTTTGACGTTCGTTTCAACAATAAAATTCACAATTTTGCAATTGTTTTCAGCAATGATAGAGATTTAAGAGCATTTGTCCAAGCATATACCAAAGTCAGCTTCGAAAACAACGAAAGACGTCCAGTAGATGAATCAGATGCCGAAGATATCCTTAGATTTATGTCATACTTATCATTAGACGATCAGAAGCCTACAGGAGAAGAGCACAATGCTCGTCCAGTCGAATACACAACAACAGGAAGGAGTGATACCGGTAAAAACATCATTCTTCAATCAAGTGAGAGAAGAGGTGATGCTTTAGTTCTTAGAAAATACGATTCGAAGTGCTCGGTTGGTATGTTTGATATTAACGATAATTGCAAGTTCATGCAAGCCATTCCAACTCTTCAAACAGATATCGGAACTACATTGCTCGCAAAAGACATGTTACGCTTCAACGATGAAAAGTCTCTTTACCTCCTCGATGATAATAACGAGAAAACAATTTACAACTTAGATTTAAACCGCGGAGACGTAATCAGCCATTTCGACACTTCCTACAACGGAGCTCCCCAGACAGTTCTCAAGATTATGCCTGCCTCCGATGGAAATGACGAGTCTACGTTCCTCGGATTTAATTCTAGAAACACTTTGAGATTTGATCCAAGAATTGAACAACTTGCAGAGAAATCCGACTACAAGAGCGATAACAAATTTACTGCAGGCAAAGCCTCGTGCTCTGGAAAGCTCGCAATGGGCTCTGCGAACGGAATTCTTAGATTATATTCCGCACCATGCAAGAACCGTGCAACAACTCAATTCCAAGTCAATGTCGGTGATCAGCCAATCACATGCATTGATATATCAATCGATGAAGAGTGGGTTGTCACTGCATCTCCTTATTATATCTCATTAGTCAATACTTTCATTCCATCTTCTGGCAAATTAGCCTTTAATGCTGCCATGGGCCGTGAGAAGCCTCCGTGCATGAGATTGATCATTAATCCAGAACATCAGCAAATTTTGGCGAAATACCACGGAGGAGACATTCCTGTCTTCTCTTCCGTCAAGTTCGAGTCAAGAGGTGCCAAACCAATTGCAATTGTCGCAACAATTGGAACCGCAATCGTTTCTTGGGACTTCAAGAGAATTATTGAAGGAAAAAGACCAACTTACTCGATTTCTCTTATTGGTGGCGAGGTCCTCGTTGATAATAAACCAATCGAGAAGACTCGTGACATCTTGTTTATGTCAGAAAACCAAATTAATTTTGTTAACATGCATAAGTAAGAATATTCTTTATTTTTGTTGTTGTACAACATTAATTCAAGTTATTTAATAAAGATATTTTTAATTTTTATTCTAAATTTGCTTTATTTTTTTGATAAATTTGGTTTGAAAGCAATTTAAAGCTAAGTGATCATAAATTATATGATTTTAGGTCATTTAATTATGTAATTAACAGGAAAACTTCATCACATTTTCATTAATTTTCTTTTTTTATTAACGAAAACAGACGAAGAGAAATTATTTTGAAGTATACTAATCATTTGTGGGGTTACTCTTTGTTCTTTGTCAGTTCATTAATTCCAAGACGTTTATCAATTCTTTTTAAAATATAAGGAGCTTGTTCAGGTAAAGCATATATAATTGGGAAAGAAAAGATATACTCTGCCTTCTTCTCTTGTACTTTTTGGATTTGCTTTGGAGGCTGAAGATGTGGAGGTACTTCAGTCATAATTTTCTTGAAAAAAGTGACAAATTTAAAAAAAAATGGATCCAAGAGTGAGAAAACGGAGTTCTTTGAAGCCACCACCAGGTTGGGATGAAATATCTGCAGAAGTTATGCGATTAAATGAAGAAATGAGAGCGGCAGAAACTTCTACGTATCAAGAAGAAAATAATAAAGAAAAGATGTGGAAAGTAATGCGTTGCAATTGGAAGAGAAGCAGAATTATTTACGAAATGAGATACAAAAGTCATACGATGTCAAAAGAATTATATGAATGGATAGTTAGACAAGGATATGCAGATAATAATTTAATAGACTACTGGAGAAAACCTGGTTACGATAGATTATGTTGTGTAGCCTGTGCAGCTCGTAATTCTGACCATGGCGGTACTTGCATCTGCAGAGTTCCAAGAAACAAAAGACAAAAAGATCTCAAATGCTTCCATTGTGGCTGTCCTGGTTGCTGTTCTGGAGATTTTAGTGATTCTGACAACGAAGAAGAGCCAAAACAGGAAACAGAGCCACAAAAACAAGAACAAGAACCAACAAAACAAGAACAAGAACCACCAAAACCTGAAAACAACCAATAGAAAACAAATTACAAAACAAAAAAAAATAATATTCAAAATTAAGTCCGAAAAAGATCTTTTGAGGCCTGAGATTTTATTACCTTGGTTAATTAGATATTGTTTACTCATTATTACGATTTAGAAATTCATATTTCAAAAATATTATTTTTATTTTCTTTATTTTTATGATAACATATATTGTCTGTAATAAAAAGTCTAAATACTAATTACTGTAAGCTTAATGATAGTTAAAAATAAAGATAAATATCAAAATTTTTAATGACTGTTTGAAACTTCAACGTATAATGAATTTTCCTCTTCTTCGCCAGCGTCTTCTTCCTCTTCATATGACTCAGAAGGCTTTGCATCGCTAGTTTTCATATCCTGTTTGCTATCTACAGTATTATTTCCTGATTTTGTATTTGTCCTCGATTTGAGAGATTCTTTGGTCGATTCCTTGGTCGACTCTTTTGTAGAATCCTTTGTTGACTCATGAGTTGCTGTTTTTGTGGAATGTTTTGAAGCAGAAGAATCTTGAGTGTTTGCAGCTGAGCTCTTTGCACTGGAGTTCTTTGTTTTAGTGTGGAGACTCCTAAGAGTTGTATTTGTCTTCATATCTTCATTTGATATCTCTGTTGTATCGGCAACAGGGATTCTTTCGTATGCAGTTTCACGCTCAATCATCTTAGCGCGAAGTTCAAGCATCATTCTTGTTGCTGGACCAATTTCATGTGTTCCATCAAATTGGAACAGTTCGTAAAGGTTTTCACCGGTCTTTGTAACGATAGCCTCCTTTGGAGCAGTATCCTGAGTTGGTTGTATGAAGGTTTTAGTCTGTAGAGAAGTCAATGTTGGAGTTAATCCGGTATAATGTTCACGAGTTGAGAGAGCGGAGCTCTTTGACTTCAATGAGCGGCTTGCGATTGATTTCGGAGCTTCTGATGGCTGCTTTGACTTGTCATCTCTCTTAGAATGTCTGTGAGAAGATTTGGATTCATTTGTCATTGTTGGAGCACGAGATTCAAGAAGATTTGTAAATTCTGACATATCCTGCGACTTGAGATATGTGTTATGTGGTTGATTTTGTTGTGTAGAAAGAGAAATGGATGGTTTCGGAAGTTTTTGATTTTCGCCATCTTGTGTTTCAGTATATGTCTTAATATCCATTTCTGTCCTGATTTGTTTGAATAATGGTTTCTTCGGATCGAGGTTCAGCTTTCTGGCAATGTATTTATGTGTTCTTTCTTGTTTGATTACGTCTTTGCTTTCGATGGAAGCCTCCTTAAAGGCAGCATCCATTTGATGTGTCTTTAAAAAGTCCATAACAAACTCTTGTGCAATGCGATTTGCAAGTGTATCTGGCTGTGCTTTAAATTTGGAGTCAAAATTCTTTGTGTGGTTAACTATAGCATCAGCGATGGAATTGAGATAGATGGCGCGGATTACCTCAATGCTGGTGTCGATGTTTTGAAAGTTCTTCTTGCTCATCCAATTTTCTGCGGTGTAAGGATAACGCCACATTATCGTCGTCCGATAATTGGAATCAATTTTTCTTACATTTTAGTAATATTTCATACTGACAATAGGAGTGAGAATGCATTTGTAGTGTTAATTCTAAAATTCTTTATCATTTTCGGGCTATTTTCTAAACATTTGTCACTTTTATTTCAATTTTGTTCAGCCGATTTGTATCTTCATGCACCTTAACAACAGTCTAAATTTGGTTTTCTTTATAGAAAATGGCTTCAAAAAAAGAAATTAATCAAATTGTATTCAATATCAGCTCTCTATGATTAAAATTCCATAGCCAATGGAACTTCTCAATGAAGTTTATTGATTTTTTCATTCATGCAAGAGCTATTGCTTGTAAAAATACATTATATTCATCCAATAATTCTAATGAGTGATATGTTCAGCTTCATTATCTTAAAATTTGTTTGTTGGGTATATGTGAGATAGAATGGAAGTATCTTGGAATTCCTAAAAAAATTCGAAAATTAAAAAAATAAATTATAAAAATACATTTTGATTCTAAAATTTTTATAAAACAAAAAAATTTTGAGAAACATAAAATATACCATTAAGTTATATTTTATCTTGGTATTCTATTTTTCATGGAATTATATTAAAATTATAGTTTTTCAAATTTGATTTTTTCATTTGGCATGTTCAGATTCAAAAATGATGCTATTTCCAAAATAAATCTTATAACTGTGCAAATACTTCTCTTAAAAAGCCTTAATAAATTCATAACTTGACGTTAACTCTAGATTTAAATGACTCAAACTCCTACTGAAGTTATCCCAAGCTCAACTACAATAGAACCTGAAGAATCGAAGTATAGAGGGCAAGTTGAAGATATCAAGAGGCGTTCCAATGATATTTTAGAACGAATTCAGGATTTCGAGAACAATAGTAAAGCTTTAAGAGAACAACAAGAATACGAAAGAGAAAGGAAAATGAAAGACCGCTTAAGACTTAAAAAGAGTGATCCTTTTACACCGAGAACTTTTGAATCACTTCACGAAGAAGAATTAGATCTTAGAGCACAATTACAACGTCTTAAAAAGAAAAATTCACGATTAAAGAGTCAAATGGATGACATGAAAAAGCTATTAGCTGATTCAGAGGCAAAGGAGCGGGAACTACAAGATGAACTCGATTTTACATACCAAAAACGTCTTCTATTAAGCAAAAAGCTCGAAGATATTTAATTTGTTTGTAATAAAATCTATAATTTTTATTAATAGGGTTCTTCATATAATTTTTTTAAATATATTCAAAATCAGGATCAGGGGAAGCAAAACTTTGTGTCTTTCCATACTTTTCTTGATAAAATGTTAAAAAATATGAGATGTCAACAAGTAATTACGGAAGGTTTCTGGATCATGAAAAAGAATATGTTAGTATCACATATGTGATTATAATAGAAGTCAGTTAAAAATAAAACAATTTAAACAAATATTGCATTAAAATTCATAATAAACTAAATTACAGTTGGCTCTCTTGTTCAACCGGAGTTTGCAGCTTATCCTCATCAAGCATTTTATTATCATCGTCATCGAATTTGAAATCTTCATCGGTTTTACGCTTGGTGTTGCGGATGATTCTTCTATATCTCTTCTTTGGTAAACTAGCCTTTTCAAGAGCCCTTTGTTCACGTAGTTTCTTCTTATGACAATAAGAAATAATACGGTAAATAATACATCCAACAGCACATCCAGAAAAAATAACAATAAGAACAATTGAAATGATGTTACTGTATTTATCATCTACCTCTGGTGGTGGGAAATCGTTGACAAATTCACCAAGGAAGAATTTATCTTCAGTTGTATTGAGGAATTGTGTAATATTTGTCTCAGGAATAATGTCTTCGCAGTGAACTGTAATATTTAAGTCTGATGAAATGTTGACTTCTTCATTTGTTTTTTCGATGAAGAACAATGCAGGATCATCAGCAGAAGAAACTCCTTGGAATCTATTGTTTCCGGAATATCTTCTTGGAATCAAATCATTTCTTTTAATATTTAGATAATCGTATTCACCTAATTGATAGTTAACTTTGTAATTAAAAGAACCGTATGCAGCATTGAAGAAGCAAAAACCTGTTTCATTGTCAAGAGTACCATTTGAAACTTTGAAAGAATAATCTCTTTGATTTGTGACAAGTCTGCTGGAGCATGAGTCAGGAAAGATAGCGTAAGAAAATTTAACGTTTGTTGCTGCAGGAGCTCGGATTCTAACGTATCCAGTTGTGGAACCGAACCAATATCCGGAAATATTATACGTAGAGTTAACAATTTTGATATCTCCAACATTTTCACATTCTCCATCCTCTTGATTAAGGCATACAGATGCTGATGCATTGACAAGATAATCGAAAATTAAAACTGTTTTTGGCTTAGTTATTTGCAGACAAATTAAAGATCCATCAACTACAGCAAAATGGTGTTGTCCTGTGGTGTCAATCTTAAATGCATCGTCGCAGTCAGCACGATTGATCAGCAATTACAATATAAGATTCTGCCTTCAAATGAGGACACAATCCTCTAATGGACATGTCCTCATCATGCTCGGGCCATTTTACATTGACTAAGGAATAAGATCCAAAATTGAACAGAAGGATCAGATATAATTGTATTCACAATATCAACGATAAGGAAATCAGTATGAATTATATCATTGTCTATATCCTGTAAAATTTAATAATTTTAACTTTTTATCCTTTGAATTCTCAAAAAACTAAACAACATCCGATATTCATAGTACATAAGTAGCATGAAACATATAAATTCAAACCTAAAAGAATCTAGAAAGAATGTATTCAAATAAAATTCTTCAGAGAAAGCAAATCTCTTGCAGGTTTTTAGCAACATAAACGTTGTAACTCCATACTTGTGCTTGATAGAAGATGCACCAAATATTTATGGTGAATTTATAAGATTTTGAAGGCATTTTAGTTATTCTGTTAATTCAAGAAGGATAATTTGGATCTAAAGAGTGCTTATCTGTAGCGAAAATATTTTATCTTATACTTGTTAGGAGTTGCAATAAAGGAGTACCAATGATGGTTTGACAAATTTCTTTCAATTTTGATCTTCGATTTGATGTCCTCACAGATGATCCTGAAAGATTTATCATATCGAAACAATATTGATATGTGTCACATAATTACCAATTCAATTAAAATGACCAATACGTCTTTTTTCCCAATTCATGGGTTGACATTTCACACTCAATCAGTTTTGAATTATGAAATCACATAAATGCATAAAATTATCTAAAATTACATCAAAATAATAGTATTAATTCGCGAACTGAAAATTAGATCACTCAATAAATTGAGAACGTTGACGAATAAGCTTGAAGTATTTATAAACATGGTCCAAAAGTAGCTAGTTTTAAGGAAAAAACGAAAACAAATAATTGAGAATATGGTTGAAGAAATTTTCAAACCAATCAATTGAAAAGTATTCAAAAAATATTTTGGTATCGTCTGAATATAACAAATATATATGCTCATTATAATTTTTTGATTGCATTTTTGTGAATTTTCAATTTCATTTATGGATTAAATGATATTTTATACTTACATTTATTAAATAAATAATGTTATAAGTAATTACATCACTCAATACGTTATAATAACCTTATTAATTAGAATATAGATTCTCCAAAAGAATATGACCTTTTACTCTATATTTGGCAATAAGAAAAATCTTATTCAATATCTTGGAAGTCAAAAGTTGAATAATTTGATTAGATGATATTTTTATTTAATATTTTAGTTTCCAAAATTATAAAAGAATATTGAATTAATAACCGTAGGGATACTGTTTTTAAATTTTCAGAAAGTCCAATTCAAATCATCTCTCAGAAAATATCAACTGATGATCAAACTATTTTTATCTAATATTTACCATATATAACAAATTCACTAAAACTATTTTTTCAATGTACTCTTAAAATTTGCAATTTGTTGAATGATGTTTGTTCTAGCTCTAACTTTTTGCTGCTCATCTTTTTATAGAAAGTTCCTTCATAAAGACGAATCAAGTACATGGTCAACATACTTCCCTTCCACTACAATGCCTTCCATTACAAAAGGAAGAAATCCCAATCTTTCAGCAAACGTGAACTCAGCATCCGAATATTATCTCTCTTTTTGTGAATTCTCATTCATCAAAAATAACGCAGTTACAGTAAATGGCGCTAATATTATCATGTTGATTTCTGATTCAACGTTTTTCAACTGTTCCAAACTGATTACAAGCAGCTCGGAGAGTCACATATACGGCTGCATATTATCATTTAACGGAACACAGTCAAGTAAATTCCAGCAAGTTCGAGTTTGCGCTTCATTATGCAGATTTATTCTCGAGAACAATTCCTTATCCATCACAAATCCAGATAGATCATATACAGTCTCAAATATCTCCAATAGTTTCTATAGCGACATTTTTTCCTATAGTAAGTTGCAATACGGACATTTCGAATCCATTACTTCAGAAGAAAGTGCCTGCAGTGAACTCTCAACATTCTACTGCTGTGGAGACTTTCACCTTGGCCTTGGAACCTCTTACATGCGTACACACAACGCACTTTTCCAAGAAAACAATATAACTCATTGTTTCTCAAGATACTACGCAGACTTTTATCTAAGAGGTTACACAGATGATTCCGACATAAGCCACGCACGTACAAAGTACAACCAACTCGACAACTTGTACGTAGGAGACTTATATGTCCTGTTTTTCCAATGGACAGATGCAACCATGGAAAACACAAATATTCATGATTGTTTGGACATCAATGGCTTCTTCGGAACACTTTTCACAAGTAGTGCTCCGTTAACTTTCAAACATTGTTCGTTCATCAATCTCACGAAAGGAGATTTTTATACTTTTAAGTTCACAAACTTTACTTGTACAATTGATTTTATTGACACTTATTTTGAGGATTCAGGGGTTACAAAGTTCTCAAATCCTGTTACTTTCAGCGCTCCAACATGCGAATACATTGCTCCTCATGCAGATGAACAGAAACCTCAACTGCCTGAATCAAATAAGAAATTTGAGAGACCAATTAAAGGTCTAATGTATTTAGGCCTACAATGCATAGTATAATGCTAGTTTTTATTATTTATTTATCTTGTAAATTATTATTTTTTTGTCGGTTCTTCTATATTCAATTATTTTTTTTGCCGTTGAATTTTTGAATACTCAAAGATTTTGTAATCAATTGAATTTTGATTATTTTTACATCACAGGTATTTCATTTAATCATAATTTAAAGCATTATGAATAATTAGTCATAATTTTGAATATGAGTGACATTTCACACATTTGCCAATTTCCATGGTTGAGCTGTTGGAAAATATAATATGGATTCATATTCCATTTTCATTTTGTAAACTTTTCATGTGTTAATTGCATTTTAAATCTGATTTGAAAAATTGAAATGTTTACATATCTAATTTCTATGTAAGAATGAAGAAACTAATGGAGGATCTCTTAAGAAATTTTAAGTGTATCGATGATGTTTTATGAGTTATCCAATAGGATGAGACTTTTGAGAACTTTACACAAATTATAACGGAATAGTTGCGACACTTATTTATAAGCCCGAAAAAGTATCAAGCAACTATTAATATATATATATTCACTTTTTAATCATATTCCCTCCTCTCAAAAAGTGACTAATATATTTTGAATATATCATGTAAATATTTACAAAATTTTATAAAATTTCTTTATAAAACAACATTATATAATATCTTTAAAAACGCATTGGTGTCATCCATTTAGAAGCTCCCCACGTATTGGGATGATACAAATTGGCTTTTGGAGGCTGTCTATCATTATCAGCAACATGTTGGTTTTTCAATACCTATCTCATACCGAAATGGCTCACCAAAAAGGTGACATTTTTGGCGCCAATAATTTGATTTTTCTGATTCTTTCTATTTAGATATATTTATTTAATATTCATATTCCTTTATATTGCCTCATATTATTTCCCATTTTTAATCATATTATACAAATCTTTAATAATTTTTAATGTTTTGAGCTTCAAAATCTTGTTCTAACTATTTTCATTCATATATCCTAGAAAAAATTAAAAAGTTTTTAGAAATAAAAATGTTTGTATGTAAAGTATTGAAAATATTCTAGATGAGAAGACATTCTCCAGAAGAGATTGATATTGATTGGCTTTGTGAAGCCATCACAAAATCAAATAATGGAGTTAAGTTAACTGATATTTGCGCGAAAGCTAAAATAAATCATGAAGGCAGAGTTATATATAATCATACTATCTTAAAGTATTCCTAGAAATTTCCAAAATTAACCGAAATATAACTGTACAGAATTACTATTTTCGAGATAAAATTCATATGGAAATACTAATTCATAACGCTTTATGTTATATAAATTTAATTTATAAAAATTTCAAAATAAATCAAATTTAACACAATGAATATAACTGCAATCGAGGTTTTTGACGATTGATTCTTACGAGAAGTTTTCCAAACTTTGAGTTAATGTCTTGACATTAACTCAAAGTTTGGAAGTCTAATAAGGGGAATTGTAGGCTATGAGGCACTGATATATAATCAGTACCTCATAGCCTGCAATTCCCATTAGAAATCGGAGAAACTTTGTCCGCATAACTTATGATGCGGACAAAGTTTCTCCCATTTCTACTTAGAATGAAAGGGCAAGAGGTATATAGGTACACTATATATCTCTTGCCCTTTCCTTCTTACCTAAAGACTTCCAATCTTATTTTTTTTCCAATTTTTCCCCTAAATTTAAATCTTATATAATATAAATAAAATGCATAATATCAATCACAAAAATTAATGTTTATTTTTTTAATTAAAATTGCCGCGCAATTTAAGGTTTTCTGTCACTTTTTTTGTTAGCCATTTCGGTACGAAACGTTGGTTTTTCAATACCTTTGGAACTTTTGAATCAAGGAGATCTAAAATATATTTTGTATCACCATCAAATTTCTTTTCTCCAGTTTTGTAAAATTCAATGAGAGAAACAACAGAAGGGTTCTTTACCTTCTCGAACTCGATATCTAACAAAGGAATAAGCTTTTGAACATAGTATTTCTCGCCATTCTGTTCAAAAATGTTAAAAGCAGCCAAAAACGGTTCAAAACTTCCATGTGCATTAACATTGAATTTCTTTTCGATCAATAAGTCAAACATTGCTTTTCTTTCGTTTTTGATGACATATTCCAATAAATTCACTTCCTTAGAATATTTGAAATTATCTTCAGGCGCAAAATAGACATCTTGGATTTCATTTTTCTTCGAAACCATTAATTTGAAAATAGCAAATCTGTCGAATTTCACGGCAACGCAAATAGGAGAGATCATTCTCAAATCATAACTATCTAAATCCATCTTATATAAGACATCATCAACAAAATCAACGTTTCCAAAATAAATTGCTAAATACAAAAGTTCGATGTAAAAATCACATTCCAATTTTTCAGAAGTTTTGTTCATTATGTCAAATAAATTATTCATGAATTCAGTAGGGTATGTTCTGAGCATATCAATCAAATCTTCTTTGTCTTCATTACTAAGTTCAGAATCAAAAAATGAATAATAAAAATCATTGCAAAAAAGTGACACAAAAAGATGAAATTGAACTGGATATTTTGCAGAATTCCAAATTGGCTCAATAAATGACTTGTTTTTCGTTCTTGCATAAGCAACCAAGAATTTTTGATTACTTGGATATCCTGAATTATTTGGAATGTTCGTGAAAAGAGGAACAAAAGGATATTTAAGCAAAGATTTGATGTTTGGATTCGATTCCATTGAGAAATTAAGCATTTTTGGTATATATCCTTTATCAGAAAATCCTTGTTTGAATCCATGATCAGAAACGTATTGAATTAATTCTTTGTCATCTTTCGCAAAACATAAATGGAAAATTGTTTTTCCATCAACACAAAAACAATTTTTCGGAATATCAAAGTTTTCTATCAATATTTTCACTAATTCTTCATTGTTGTCGTTGATTGCAATGCCTAAACCATTAACTAAAGAAGTATTATTAATTTTGAATTTTGTCAAAACCGTTTTGACAAAACCATTTGATTTGTTTGATTGGCAAAAAGCACAAAAATGAATTTGATCAATTTCAATTGATTTGTCAAAATTAATTTGTAGATTCATTATATATTTCAATAATAATTGAAGAGCGAATGGGAACAAATCAATTTTCTCGAAATAATACTTTTTGTTGCCAACAAAAAATATTTCTTTTGAAATTATTTGGCCGGCCAAATACCTATTAATTTGGACATTATTTTCCAAATAATTTTCAACAATTTTGGAGAGTTGGACAGCAGATATATTCTTGTATTCAAAACATGATATTTCCATTGGAATAAAACGTGACAATGTCAAATTTTTCAATGCAGAATTTGTCACTTTTGGAGTAATTTCCAAGAAAGACAGCGCTGGTTCAATTTCGGATTCTGTGAACTGATGGAATTCGAAGTAATTCGACTTATCAAAGAAATAATTTTCCAAATCTTTGAAAGCAAATTTTGAAATTATAAAAGTTTTTGATTGAATCAAATCCAATTTTTTGTTTTCAATCAAATACTTACAGCATTTTTCATTGATTGTTAGTTTGTCAAGAAGAGAAATATCTCTAGAAATAATCTTAGGCCAGTCAGGTAAATTCTGATACAAAGGATTCCGGAAAATTCTCGTGTAATCTTTCGAATTCACTTTTGAAAGTTTCAAAACTAAATCTGTGTATTTCTCAGATGTCAAAGTTCTTTCTGAAAGAGGAATACTTATCAAAGAGTAATATAATATGTAGTTAATCATCTCATCAGTTGTTGTTTCAATAGAAAACCTCTTTGACAATATAATTTGTCCAACTAAATCATCATAATCTAGTCGTTTAATTTTATCAATTTTTTTGATAAAATTCAGATTATACAAAGCAAATAATAACTCCTGACAATATTGACCGGACCTGGTATTCATTAATATACCTAAAACATTAACACATGTTATTTTTTCGACAACTTCAATGCTGGAAAAGAAAAGATCATAAAAAATTTCAGAATTAATTGAAAAATAAGGATTATTCAGAGTTTTCAACAGCCTGAGACGAAGATCTACTGGTACTTGCATACAAACGATCGATTCAAATAATTCTGATGATTGTTTCGTTTCAAAAATTTCCACTTTTTGTTCAACTGTCAATTTTGTGTCAAAATTTTTAATTTTGAGCAAAGTATCAATCAGATTTTTCTTATCAGAGATTCTAGGGCTGTCTCTGACGAAACAGAAGAGTTTGAAGATTAATGAAGGATCAACAAATGTAGAATAACTGTTTCTTAAGCAATTTTGAATAAAACTGGTTCGTTGTAGTTCTTCTTGATCAGATAACCCGACTTCTGATATTCCTGGTGATAAATAAACATATTTGAGAAGCATTGTTTCGCGATTAAAATAATGTTTGTAATTTAATGCGCTAACTATGTTTCTAATGTACTCATATTGCTTCATATCGGATAATATTTCACAAACTTCTTCAATAAGCTTCATATTTTGTGATACTGTAAGATTGGAAAAAATATATTTTGATTTACACATAAGAATGACTTCAACAATGAATCTTGGTGTCGTAAAAGACTTCAATATGTTTAATGATGGGTATTCCATACAAGAAATGATGAAATTATGTGTAGATTCGAAATCATAATGATGTTTGTCTAAATAAAGCAATGCTTTGAAAGAGCATGTTGTAGAACTGACCTTCTTAAATTGATCATTAGTAACGTAATCGAATAATTCATCATTTCGAAAGTCTAATGCAGAAAATATTTGTGGATATGTAAATTGAACGTTATTTTGAAGGTAAACATTGAGTATATCGATATTTCCACCAATAAGTGCATAAAATGGGTCAAATTCCTGATGAGGATTTTGAGAAATAATATAATTGAAAATTTTAACAGAACCATATAGAGTAGCAAGCTGAAATGGATTTAATTCATGATTCAAGATAGATATATTACTATGTTTTTGTAAAACGAAGAGTTTTTCAAATTTTTCGACTGAATCTTCAATAAAAACTTGAATATCTGGATCAGTGTCTTTCCATGGACCACTGCTCTTATAAAGGTATGAAAAATTGTAAGGTAATTCTTGCTGTGACGAGAAAAGACGATAATTTGGATCATTAACGAGAAAACAGTAAACGAAGTTCGGAACGTTCAATCTGCAGCATAATGTTGATAGTAAATCATTTGGAAACTTTGATAGTAACTTTGCATTTTGAATTGCTCGTTTTGGCCGAATGTATAGAGCAATTCCTAACTCACGAAAACCTAGAGTTGGATATTGTTCCAAAAACTTCAAGATTTTCTTGACAGATCCTTCTAATTCGCTATCAAAAGAATATAATAAATTTTGAAATTCTTCATATTCATATGATTCAAGAGGTATTAAAACATCTTGAATTCTTTCATATGAAAGCGGATATTTAGCGTTCAAACTTATGTTTTGTGTATCAGGAGAATGATTTTGACCTTGAATTTTTTTTTATATTTTCAATTATTATTTGTAAGAACTCATAGAATTTTTTAACAATTGATAAGTATCAAAATTTAACTAGTTTTATTTTCATGGAGTTATGGATGCCTACGTATTGCAAAAAAGTGACGAAAAGTGACACTCCTCTTCTTTTCGCAGGGTTACTGATCGCTTGCTTTCTACTCAGCAATGTCTCAGATTTTCTTTTTTTAGGAGGAAACAAAGATATCATGAGCGAATGTTTGAAATATCAGAAGCCAAATATATTGTGCCTGGAATATGCAATTAAACTACTTTTCATATTCTTTGCGTCTATTCAATTGCTGTACGATATAAAGATCAATTTAAATCATTGCGAAAAATATCATAATCTTGAATCAAACAAATGATGTTGATAGATGCTTTACTTACTCATTAAATTTTAATGATTCATCCATTTCCCAATATTCCCTTCCACATGGTGCAATTATCAATGAACAATTCTGAGCCCATAACTTTATTTTAGCATAAATAGTTGATAATTCAATGAGGTAAGTCTCAGGCTATTGTTTTTTAAAATTGTTACAACTGAAATCAGTATTGTAATCTGATTTCCCTATCGAGACAAAAAGTGACAATAAAAAAAGTTTACAATTTCCCATCAAATGACAACATATGAATATAAGGTTGTTATGATCGGTTCTGTTTCAGTTGGAAAGACAGCAATTGCCAACCGCCTCCAGTTTAAGCGTTTTGATGAAGAATATCAGCCAACTGTTGGTGCTGGATACATTCCATACAGAACCACTTATGATGGTAAGGATATTGAGCTCCAAATTTGGGACACAGCAGGTATGGAGCGTTACAAATCACTTGGATCTATTTACTACCGCGACGCAAACGCCGCAATCATTGTTTATGATCAAACATCAAATGAGTCTGCGGAATCTTTAGAATCATGGTTGGAGAATTTCCGCCAGACAGTCAAGACACCATGCTACATTGCTATCGCTGGAAATAAAGAAGATCTCCCGAACAAAGTTGTTCCACCAGAGAAAATCAAAGATTGGGCATCACAAAACGGATTTGACTTCTATATTACTTCAGCCAAAGATGGAACAGGCGTAAATGAAATGTTTAATGCAATGGTCAAATATTTAGTTAAATCAAACAAAGAAGAAGCAACAAAGGGACCTGCTCTCAGAAAGACTAAGAAGTCAGGTGGCTGCTGCTAATACTGTCAATGTTTTAATAGAAATTTATCATTATTTTTATAAATAATCTTCGATTTCTTCGGTGTTATACATATCAATATAGGTAAAAATTACTTTTCATATATTTTATGTATGTTTTTCGTTATTATTCTTTAGATTCAAAGAATTTTAAATTTTTATTTGATTTTCTTAAAAAACTAAGTGAATATTTCAGCGTGAAATAGATAAACAAATACATGCTCACTTAATTGAAGAATAATGACATTTTATTGACATATGACCTGAAAATTGCTTCAAGAAAGAATGAAAGTTGCTTCAATCCTTTCATTCTTTGAGAAAGAAGAGATACCCAAAGGCAAGATATACTCAAGCAACAACGTTATGGTTATTTTTCACGATGAAGAGCCTTTAATGACATATTACACACAAAATGTCAAAAATACGATTACTTTAGAATCTCTTGATATCGATATGAATATATGCAAGATCATTGCAGTTGATATGCATAACGAAGGCAGACTATTTATGCTTGTTTCTAAAAAATCAACTCCAATTGCCTATTTTATTTCGATCAATAGCGATGATTCTACACATTTACCAAAAATAATACAGTTATGTTGTTCATCAGTGTCATTTCATAAGAAAATTCTGAGTGTTTTTATCCCACAGCCAAATATTTTTTGTATTATTTCAAGAGAAGGCATCAGTATTCATACAATAACACTGCAAACAATCTATTCGAAAATGATACAGATAAGAAAATGCGTTTATATCAAAAATTATATCATGTACGCTTCAAATAAAGGAGTTTCATTAATAAAGATCAACGATGACGGAACAATATCAGAGTTTCTTAAGTCCGGAACTACCCAGTTGTTTATTCCATTCACTCTCCTTATCCATCCTGACTTTTTAACCTTAGTTCAGTACGATACCAACAATAACATTGTTTTTCAAAGGATTTCGCATGATGGAAATATTCTTCCAAGTGTTTCTATACCTAATTTCTTCAATAACGGTCAAAATCCAGACCAATACAACTATCAAATGTTTGATGACGCTGTTTTAGTATCGGATGACAAATTCAATGCTGTCTACTTGGATATTTCTACATCAAAGGTCGTTTTCTTGTCGAAACAGTTCAAATTAGAAGAAAATTTACAAAAAATTATTTTTAATAAATTCGGATACAGTCAAACGCACAAATTTAAGATCCATATCAACTTCGACAGCATCACAGACATCGATCCAGACCTTATTGGCGCTGTTTTACGCCGTCATAAGTCATTATCTAGAGCATTGACACTTTTTTCACAAAGTTTGCAGCAAACGAAGACAGTTGATGGTATGAAGCTTCTTGTTAACGCCACAGCACCTTATGCTATTGATTCTGTGGCTCAAGTTCGTTATGTTCGAGCAATTCAATTTGCCAGCGTCGCAGAACCACACCTCATACTTCTAGCATTGATAAACACAGTAAATAACATGGGAGAGAAGATGATTGATGCCGCAAAGAACACAATTTTCGAACTTTTGGCTCATATTGAGTGCATTTTCACTATGAAGACATTGATTGCAATTTGGGGACTAAAACTTAATGAATATGCATTGCAGATCATTGCTCCTAAAATTGGAGAAGAAATTGACATAAATCCGGAATATGTCCAAGATATTCTTGTTTACGCTGACATTTGCATCGAATCTGATAAACCAGATATTGCAAAAAGACTTATATTAAGGTTTGTTCTTGAAGAAGAACAAAGTTCGAGAGATGTCAACCAAATTCGAATGAAATACAAAGAAAAGTTCGGCGAAGACCCGTTATCTCCTTCTTATTAAGAGATTTTTGTTTGTTATTATTTGTTTCTTAGAGTAAATCGGCTTAATATATTTAATTTCGCATGTTATTAAATAAGATCGACAAAAAACTGACAAATTGCTCTTGCAAAATCAATATCTTTATTAGAATAGCGAAAAAGTATAACAATCATACTAGGCACTATATATAATGATTGTTATAATAGTTTTTTATCAACCAAAAATATTAACTATTTAACATAGAATCAATAATTAATTAAAAGCCTTAAAATCGGCAAAAAATGGACCGAAAAGTAACTTTTAATTTTTTTTCCAAAAATCATTCAGCTTTACATGTCATTTTGTTAAATCGTAGCACCATGTAAAACAAGAAGATCGGCTGTTGCTTTGTATTCATTTTCTTTTGCAATGTGAAGAGCTGTTTTCCCATTATTATCTTTTTCATTGATATTTGCACCATGTGAAATAAGAAGTTCGGCTATTTCTTTACAATCATTATATGCTGCAGTATCAAGTGCGGTTATTCCATCTTCATCTTTTGCATCAATATTTGCACCATGCGAGATAAGAAGCTCGGCCATTTCTTTATGATTAAATTTTGCTGCTTTATGAAGAGGGTTTTTCCCATGCATATCTTTTGCATCAATATTTGCACCATGCGAGATAAGAAGCTCAGCCATTTCTATTTGATTTAATTCCGCTGTATAAAAAAGAGCATTTTCCAATAAATAATCTTTTTCATTGACATTTGCACCATGTGAAATAAGAAGTTCGACTGTTTCTTTATCATTTTCACGTACTGCTCCAAAAAGAGCGGTTTGTCCACCTAGGCGTTTTTCATTGACATTTGCACCATATGAGATAAGAAGTTCAGCCGTTTCTTTACTTTTATGTCTTGCTGCATAATGAAGAGCAGTTTCTCCAAAATCATTTTTTTCATTGACATTTGCACCATGTAAAATAAGAAATTCGACAGTTTCTTTTCTATTACATTCTGCCGCAAAATGAAGAGCGGTAACCCCTTGTAAATCTTTTTCATTAATATTTGCACCATGTGAAAGAAGTAGTTCGGCTAATTCTGCAGTTTCACGATAACCTGCAAAATGAATAGCTGTTCTTTCATAATGATCTTTTTCATTGACATTTGCACCATGTGAAATAAGAAATTCGGCTATTTCTTTATTATTATTTTGTACTGCTTTATGAAGAGCGGTTCCTTCAAAATCATCTTTTTCATTAATATTTGCACCATGGGAGATAAGAAGTTCGACTATTTCTTTATGATTAAATTCTATTGCTTTAAAAAGAGCGGGTTCTCCATGATATCCTTTTTCATTGACATTTGCGCCGTGTGAGATAAGAAATTCGACTATTTCTTTAGAATTTCTTTCTGTTGCTTTATGAAGAGCGGTTTCTTTGTAATTATCTTTTTCATTGATGTTTGCACCAAGTGAAAGGAAATATTCGCAAAGGGATGGAATACCAAATGTGGTTGAATAAACAAAACATTTGTTAACATCATTAGTTTGATCGAAATAAACTAAAAGTGACTCAAGATTTTTATGATTTACGCAAACATATAATTCGATCTTTATATTGTATTCATTCACCAAGAATGTAACAAAATCAATGTTGTGTGAAATAATTGCATATTCCATGCATTTTTGATTTGGCGTTTGAGATTTCAAACATTCGCTCATGATCTCTTGATTTCCACCTAAAAATGATAATTCTAGACATATATGAGTTATTGGTGAGTTAAATTTTGTTCTTAAAAACTTGAAACAATCAACTGCCCCATAGTAACAACATAATTCAAGTAATGAATATCCTTCGAATATATTTGCATATAATATGCTATGAAGTTTTTGATCTTTATCAAATCCTTCTCTTTCAGTGATTGCAATGAATGCTTCTATGTTGTTATTCATAATTGCTCTGAAGATTGGATTTTCTAAAAAGGGTTTGAGTAATTGTTCTGTCTCTTCTGTTTTGCTCAATTTAATTCCGTACTCTTCATCAAATAGGTACACAAAAAGCCTCGGAATATCGGGTACAGTCGTTACATGAAAATTATAAATAAAGAATTTTGCAAGTTTCAAGTATGACTTTGTATAGCGGTTATTATAAGGAATGAAGTCCAAAATATCTTTTACAAGATATGCTGGGGGACATTTCTTTGAATCAATCAGTTCTGTTTTGATCATTTTGTAAATTGAGCTTAAATCTTCTTCATTTTCCGTTTTTAGCTGATACAATGCAGCATATGAATCAATGTAGTTTTTGTTGACACTTCACAGTTCATTGTATTTGTCGGGATGAATGTCTTGATTGGACATTTAAAAATTTAAAAGTCCGAAATCGGCATTTCACTTCACAAAATATCTTTACAATCAATTACAATAAAAAAATTCCATGTTAAACATGTTGAAAACGACGCACACAAACATTTCGGAAATAACATTAATAATATTTGTCATAAATCAGTATTTTACCATATTAATTATCTTTTTATTTCATTACAAGAAACAATTACGGGATAAAAATGATGAAAACAATGTACACAAAGATTTCGGAAATAACAGTATACGGAAAAAGTGGGTCTTAAAATCATTTTGGGTCTTACTTTTAACTGCAAAATTCCCACAATTTTGAATACTTTGGCAAAAAAACTTGCAAAAACATAGCGTCTATATACTATGTATATTAGGATTTTGCAAAGTGTCAAAAAATAAAAAATTTTTTTAAAAAAATTTTAGGGAGTTCGAAAAAAGTAATGATTGTAAGAGATGGGAAGTATTTACGCTTGAAGTCGGAGCGGATATGAAAAGAATTTGTAGAGGCGCATATCTTGGTATGCAAAATTGAGATACTGTGTTGAAATCTACAAAATTCAAAATCTGACACAAGTCTCTCTGACCATATTAGACTCGTATTCTTTCTCTGTTGTATGAGATTTAATGAAAATGCTCGTTAATAGATACACATCTATTTAAAAATGATATCCGTTATTAAATCATATGCTCTGTGGACGCAGAAACTTGTGTTTTCGACTTTGTAAGTTGGCAATGAGCGATGCGAATGGGTCAGTTTGGTTAGTAAAGTCATCTAAGAAAAAATCGTTAATTGAACAATATGTAATAATTTTTGAAAATGAAGTAAACAGTATATTGAAATGTGCAGTATTAAGCTACTCTTTGACCTTGTAAGTTTTGATCAATTATGTAGCTGAAGGTATATTTGCAGGTAAGCAAGTTTGGAGAAAAATCTTATAGCTAAAAATAAAAATCGTATGAAATAATTATGTGGTTCATTTGTTAACGTGCTTTATTTTTGGGGTCGGAAAACCCAGGTTCGAATCCGAATACATCTTATTTTTTCTTTTTCATTATATCAATAAATTGTATTATACCCAAGAATTATTTTAATAAGAATCAATTTGGAATTTGAACCATGAATAATATATTTCGTATTTAAATACTCATATTTTTGTAAAATAATCTTTTCGGTTATATTACAATCAAATTACAAAACAGTTATAAGATTTTTTAATCCTAAATTCAAAATATATGAACTTTGATCTTTAAATTTTAAACAATTTTGAGAAAGAAATATTGTTAATCGCTTAATATTCTTATGTATATAAGTTGATTATGCAGCTGTGTGTCAAAATCCAATTTTTAATACCAATCTCATTTATTCTTCAAATTATTTTTATTATTATAATCATGAGATCTGGTATTATATGAATAACATCACATTTCAACATAAACGTGAATAAATTTCAAAATTGCAAAACAATCACCTCAATTTCTCTATTTATTCATATTAACTTATTTTCGATATACCCATTTAATTAGTTTCATGTATGTTAGCATGTGACAATAGATATTTGAAGCTTAAATGATGGATTGCCGAAGAAATTAACAAAAAATTCTTATATTTTTGATTTATGATCATACAAACATAATGACTTACAACAAATATCATTATAATACATAATTACCATAGTTGGATCTCAAATTAAAAATATATTATATTTGGATATTATTTTCAATAATTTTCAATTTTGCTTTATATGAGATTCAAACAGACCATTAGATACATGTTATAGCCAATCAATATTTTCATAAGAATAAAAATTTTTTAGAATATTGTTTTATGTTTTTTATAATTGACAGTCTATTTGTATCTACCTATCTTAAAATACATTTTATGTTTGTAATCGCTCTTCCACCTATAACAATTTAGAACAATTCTGAATATTTAAATGTTTTGATATGGATAATTCAGTTATACCAAGATTGACTAAGTCTCTTGGTATGAATAGTGAACTTGAGAACATTCACTTGATTCATATTAATAAATTCGTGTCAAATTCAAATAATTGTTATTAGTAATCTTAATTTATTCAATATATATGACTAAAAACAGTTTACTTGTTTCTTACTAATAGCAATCTTCTATTTATTTTTCAAGTATAAAAAAAAGAAAAAAAGAAATGCGTGGCACTTAATTCGAACTCGGAACCCCAAAAATAAAGCCAATCCGGCGGTTTTAACCGTTAGACTACACCTCAATTTCATACGAAGTAAATTTCACAGATATTTATGCGGCCCACTCTGTCAAAAAAATAAGACCAAAAGTGAGCTTAAGACCCAAATTTTCCGTATACTGTAACATGAAACAGATAGAAATGTCGAAAACACCATATACTTGCATTCTATCAACTAAAATGTCTCTGCAATTCATTATGTAAAAAAAAGTATCATTATTATCGTATTTTGAGATATCCTCATTAGGAATTAAACATCTTACAACTGTATGGTATTCATTATGATTTTAAGATAGGGTATATTATTATTATTTCGGGAATATCGAACTTCTCTCAATTTTACTATATAAAATGGCGAAGTCGAAATTTGTCGAAGATGTTTACAATATTCATTCAATATATTTTGCTGCTTCAATAAGTTAGATGCATTAAAAGCATTAAAACAAAAACACAAAGTGAAATATATTTTATTTATTAAGCAGAGAATTTACTACCTGATTTAGAGTTCCAGAATTTCACAACTCCGTCTCTATCTCCTGTAGCCAACAAACCATAAGTCTGACTTGCAGCTACACAATAAACAGGATGATCGTGAGCTTTTGAAGTTCCTCTAAGTTTGAAATTAGATAAATCGTACTCATAGATGTCACCTGTTGTAGAGCCAATTATTGCATCTCCATCGACCATAGCCATCTGTATTTTCTCAGAAGGTAATCCAGCTCTGTGGAAGTTTACTGATCCAACAACAGATGTCTCTTTCAAGTCAATGGATGCAATAGTTTTATCACATGATATAGACATGATTTTCGAAGCTCCCTGTCGGCCACAAACCTGTATAACTGGCTGTTTATGCGACTTTATTTCGAATACATGCTGTGATGATCTCAAATCATATCCCCTGATGTAGCCATCATAATGTCCTGTGATGACTAATGACTCTCCTTGCAAAGGAATGATGGAGTTAGGCGTGGACGACGAAATAATGGTGTTAACGGGTGCGGATCGCTGTATATCGAATAGTTTGATCGATTGGTTGCGACAACATGTAACAAATTTGTCATCTGTAATGAAAACTGCATCGTTGACGCATTCCCTGTTATCGGAATTGCAGATAACAAACCTGAAATCAGGAATCTTGTAAAAACGAACCGATCCGTCGTAACTTGCCGCCATCAAAAATTTATCTGATGGAGAAAATTTGATTGACATGATAGTTTTCGAGGAATCGTTAAGGGCAGCGATCTTACTATTGTTATCTGCACGTACTACAATTACAGAGTTGTCTTCTGAACCTGATGCAAACAAAGGTTGTGTATTTGCAAAGCAAAGAGAGGTAATTGTGCCACTTTGCTTTGTTGGATGGGCTTCCAGTTGAAGGTTCTTGATGAAGTTCTGGTTAAGAAGGAATTCTTCATGCGAGGAAGTGTCTTCTGGCGAATTTGAAGATTTCACGTTCGGAATATCGACTTTGAACTTAGAAGTATCGACTTCTGGAGCATCGGATTTGACGTAGTCTTCGTTTCTGAGGTTCATTTCGATCTCTTTGCTCTTTAAGAGCTCCATTGTAATTTGTTCACGATGATTCATGAGATCTGTGTATCTTTTCTGCATACCAGTAAGACCATCCCTTCTGAATGAAACTTCTTTGAGTTTTGTATTCTTCTCTTCTTCAAGCAATTTCGTATTTTCTTTTAATTTTGTGTTTTTATCTTCGAATTCTTTAACTTCCTTTTCGATTTTGTTTTTCTCGTTTCGTGATTGTGTGAATTCTTCTGCAATCAATTTCATATTTGTTTCTTCTAAATCGAATTGTTCTCTGATTTCGGAAATCGATTGCTGAACACCATTAATTTCTCTCTTAAGTTGTGCTGATTGTGAGTTACTATTAATTTCGTTTGTTAATTGTTCAACTTTGTTCTTTAATTCAGGAACTTCATTTTTCAGTTGATGGTTGATATTAAGATTCTCAACAATGGCATTTGACATCTTGACGTAGTCATCCCAAAAGCTTTGTGATCGTGATAATTTATCTCTGTCTGCAAGACAAGATAAAATCGAATTTAATTCCATTTTTAAATTTTGACAGTTTACGTGTTAATTTTCAATCAATTCTCTCTTGAAACCAGTTAATCTTATATCTAAAGCAACACAAAGGCAAGATCATGTAACGTAAGTCATCCACTAATATTTTCATAGTTAAAAAACATTTTTTTTTTACAAATTCATATTGAACAGTTTCAAAAGATAAAAATCACAGCAAAATAGTTAGGACTTAACTATATGCTATTATTGTGAGAGTTTAAATAGTTTATATACAAATAATTCACTAAAATCAATTGTGATTATTCAGGACAACATATTACCTCAGCTCTAGATTCATATAAATACATGATTTATGACGATTTTATGTAAAATATTTTTTATAATTGCTGGAATAGAAATTGTATTTATCTTATTTCATATTTTTCAACTGTGATGATTGATATAAAATATTTAATGAAACAAGATAGACTTTTTATTAGAAATAGATAAATATTTATACAAAAAAATTCGAAAATAGTGAAATAAATAAATCAATTGTAGTTAGCTGTTTTGGTATTGTCAATATATCAAACTAAAAATGAAATTTTCGGAGTATTCAGAAAGATGAAATATAAATCTTTGAAAATTCTGGAAAATTAAGGTATCATTATGTAGTATGAGATAGGTGTTAAGTTATATTACTGGTTTGATGAACCATTGAAAATGTTAAAAGGTTTTATAAAGTATTGGCCATCAAATAACGCTCCAGGGAATAGTGGTAATGTTGGTTTGCAAAGGCATAGTAAATATAATTCATTTTGCTTGAAAGCTCGAAGTACATATTGTCCATCACCAAGAACGAGGCCATCCATATCTTTTTCAAGCATAGATGGAGCCATTTGAAGCAAAGCTTTACTACCAGATAAGTGTTTTATTGGTGTTATGCTGACGAGTTGAAGTGATTTATCTGAAGGAATAAAACCAAGTAAATCAAAATCGCAGGTACTCCCTGGTATGTAATATAGTCCATTAGCACCAGCAAATTTGATATAATGGCTTTCTTTGTTTTGATCCATTTGTTTAATTTGTCACTTTTATTTCATTTGCTTCTCTGAAAAGAAGACTAAAAATAATCATTCACAAGTATACAACAATAAATTTGGCCAAAGCAAATGAATTACATTCATGTTAAGAGGTTAAAGTTTTAAGGAAATGGTATATAGTTCTTTTAACATTTGATCTCACGTAGCCCAAATATCCGACGGTTGTTTATGAGTAAGCACTTTTGTTACGTACTCATTAAAAAACTTTGTTATAAATTACGAAATTTTCTCGCTTTGGCTAAAAAGTGACAATCTGGACTGAAGCCACCCTTAAAATTTTTACATGTCCAATCAAGACATTCATCCCGACAAATACAATGAACTGTGAAGTGTCAACAAAAACTACATTGATTCATATGCTGCATTGTATCAGCTAAAAACGGAAAATGAAGAAGATTTAAGCTCAATTTACAAAATGATCAAAACAGAACTGATTGATTCAAAGAAATGTCCCCCAGCATATCTTGTAAAAGATATTTTGGACTTCATTCCTTATAATAACCGCTATACAAAGTCATACTTGAAACTTGCAAAATTCTTTATTTATAATTTTCATGTAACGACTGTACCCGATATTCCGAGGCTTTTTGTGTACCTATTTGATGAAGAGTACGGAATTAAATTGAGCAAAACAGAAGAGACAGAACAATTACTCAAACCCTTTTTAGAAAATCCAATCTTCAGAGCAATTATGAATAACAACTATGCGAATACTTCCTTTCACTTGGTGCAAACATCAATGAAAAAGATAATTATGGAGAACCTGCACTTCATAATGCAGCATTTAATAATAATAAAGAAATCGCCGAACTTCTTATTTCATATGGTGCAAACATCAATGAAAAAGATAATTATGGAGAACCTGCACTTCATAATGCAGCATTTAATAATAATAAAGAAATCGCCGAACTTCTTATTTCACATGGTGCAAACATCAACGAAAAAGGTAAAAATAAAGAAACCACTCTTCATAGAGCAGCAGAATATAATAGTAAAGAAACAGCCGAACTTCTTATTTCGCATGGTGCAAATATCAACGAAAAGGATAATAATGGAATCACTGCTCTTCATAATGCAAGTCGTTGTGAAAATACAGAAATTGCCGAACTTCTTATTTCACACGGGGCAAATATCAATGAAAAAGATGATAAAGGAAATACTGCTCTGCATTACATAGCATTTTCTAATAATAAAGAAATCGCCGAACTTCTTATTTCGCATGGTGCAAATGTCAATGAACAAGGTAAAAATGGAGAAACAGCTCTTTATAATGCAACACAATATAATCGTAAAGAAACAGCTGAACTTCTTATTTCACATGGGGCAAATGTCAATGAAAAAGATAAAAATGGAGAAACCGCTCTTCATAAAGCAGCAGAATATAATAGTAAAGAAACAGCCGAACTTCTTATCTTACATGGTGCAAATATTAAGGGTGCACACGAGAGGATCATGTAAACTTCAGAATTTAGAACCTTATTTTTAGGCATTATCTTGGCTACCTATTTAGGCTCGAAAAGCAAAAAATATCAAAAAATACAACTTGACTCCATTATGACCCTTTCATGAATGTAGTTTTTATCCGCTAGTATTTTCCCTTTGAATCTCTTTACAATTCGAAATCAAATTCAAATCTCAGTAGAAGAAAGTAAGAATCGACTTACTACGGTTGTGATACGAATAAATACATATATTTAATTATTTTTATTTACATAATAATTGCTTGAAGCTCATATTCCATCAAATTTTTAAATAAAAACATTAAAATGTTGAAAATGTTCATATATTTTAATAGGGTTTTGGCACTTTATTGAGGAATTACTACATACATAGTCGAACTGAACTTGATATTTTGAAATTTAAATTATTTATCAAAATTAAAATTTAACTTGAAATTTATAATTATTTAGTCATATTTTGCATAATTCTAAGTAGATTTTGTAAAAAATCAAGAAAGAAAAATTTTAACGTGCTTTATTTTTTCTTTTTTATAATAATACATATTATTATATAATTAACATATTCATAATGTTTCACCCTTTCAAAAATATAATCCTCCTCCTCTCAAATAAACGTACATACGGGTGGCTTCTTTTTTCAAAAAATTAAAATTTGAAATTTTGGGCTCAAATATTAGAGATTTTTTCAACTTTCAACGATATATGTTGTCTATATCAGACCTCCTTTCTTTTTGATACTTAACATTGTTCCTAAATCTTAGCCGTTAAGGCTGTTCTGAAAATATTTTTTTTCGAAAAAATTCGAAAAAAATTCTTAAAATTCAAAAATCCCTTAATTCCTGAGGATTTTGGAAAAAAGTTTTTACATGAACATGTGTATATTATATGAAGTATATTGATAAGGTAAAAATCAAATTTTATTGCATATTCATCGAGAAAATAAACTAACAAATCCCTCAAAATTGAGAAGGTAATCCTCCTCCTCTCAAATAAACGTACATACGGGTGCACCCTTAAAAGGTTCATATATTGAGATTCCATTTGGAAATTTATCACCTCTTGAAGCTTGCTGCTATTTTGGATCTGTTAACATTTTCTTCTTCCTCATTTCAACCTCCAAATATAAAATCGATCGAAGGTGTCTTCGGTATTCTGTTATTGGAGGAAAAACGGACATTATTAATGAATGCATGAAAAACAATCAAATTGATGAAGATTGCTTCAATGATATTCTTTCGTCACACAACAATAAACTCCTTGAATACATTCTAGAAAATGGTTTGTTTAATCTTGATATTGAACCTGATTCAAATTACAATGAATGTTCCGTAACTGGTCATAGTGATGATGAAGTTAAACGTAATTTTGATTTTTACAAAATCATCGAATCACAAAATTTAAAGGCAGCATTTCTTCTGTACAAGAAAGACGACATATCAATTTTTCCATGGTGTGCTGCATTTCCTCAGTTATTAGACATCATTAAGAATGAATATATGAATCATCCTTCAATGGTTTTAAACGCAAGCGATGGCTATCGAAGGAGAATTCTTCATTATGCAGCAGATTATGCATGTTTAGAAACATTAAAGTTTCTTATTTCACAATGTGTATATATCGATATTGCGGATGCAGGAAATACGACAGCTCTTCATTACGCACTAAAAAAAGATCGCAAAGAAATAGTTGAATATCTTATATCTCAATATGCAGATACAAGTGCAAAAGATGAATATGGAAGGACAGCTTTACATATAGCGGCCGAAAAAAACAGAAAAGAAATAGCAGAACTTCTTATTTCACACCGAGTAGATATAAATGCTAAAGATAAACGCGGAAGAACTCCACTACATTCAGCAATAAATTATTGCAGTTTTAAAATGGCAGAATTTCTTATCATAAACGGTGCATATATCAATGCAAAAGATAAAGACGGTAAAACGGCTCTTCATTATGCGTTAGGCAAAGATAATTGCAAAGAAATCACTGAGTTTTTGGTTTTACATGGCGCTGATATCAACATTAGAGATAAAGATGGACAAACCACTCTTTATCATGCAGCAAAAAATAAGAATGCCATAGAAATGTTGGAATTTCTTATTTCACATGGTGCTGATATCAACATTAAAGATTACTGCGAAAGAACAATTTTAAATCATGCAACAGACAATAAAGAAGTAATGGAATTACTCATTTCACATGGTCTTGATATCAATGCAAGAGATAAATTTGGAAAAACTGAACTTCATTACGCAGTATACTATAATGACAAAGAATTGATAGAATTTCTAATTTCGCATAATGCAGATGTCAACATTAAAGATAACGATGGAATGGCAGTTATTCATTATGCAAAAACGAAAGAATTAATAGAATATCTTATTTTACATGGTGCGAATATCGAGGCTGTTGAGAATAATGGGAAGACTGCTCTTCACTATGCTGCAGAAAATGGGTTAATTGAATTATTAGAATATCTTCTTTCACATGAAGCGGATATAAATGGTAAAGATAAATCAGGAAGAACAGCTCTTCATTATGCAGCAACTAATTATAATTGTGAAGCAGCAAAATATCTTATCTTACATGGTGCAGCTATCAATGTAAAGGACGTTAATGGGAAACCCCCACTTCATTTTGCAGCAGAGAAATATACAAGTGGTATAGTAGAACTCCTGATTTCACATGGTGCAGAAATAAATGCAAAGGACAAAGATGGAGAAACTGCTCTTCATTTAGCAGCAATACATATGAATACTGCAACAGTAGAATTTCTTCTTACACATGGAGGTGATATTAACGGAAAAGACAAAAGTAAAAAAAAACAGCTCTTCATTTGGCGGCAGAGAAAGATTGTTCAGAAACTGTAAAGCTTCTTATTTCATTCCATGCAGTTATCAATGCAAAAGATGAATCCGGAAAAACTGCTATTCACTTAGCAGCAGAAAATAATTGTAAAGAAACAGCAAACCTTCTTATTTTGCACCATGTAGATATCAATGCAAAAGATAAATTCGGAAAAACTGCTCTTCATTATGCAGTCCAAAACAATAGAAAAAAGATGATAAAATTCCTTATTTCTAATGGTGCAGATACTAATGCTAAAGATAATAATGGAAAAATCGCATACCATGATTATGAAAGTTCATAAAGTGATAAACTCAGATATTCATGGCCATTTTAAGGATGCAATCTATGTCTTTGTGCATCAAATAAATGATTATTTTTCCTTATATATGTTCTTTTCAGCACATTTATTCATCTCTTCCTTTCATAATTATAAGCAAATGCGTCTTTTGCATATCTATTTGCAGTATATAGCCATTCAATTTATGAAATTCTGTTGAATTCTAGTGTTAACAATTTGACACCGACGCGAATCATGAACAAAAACAAATCTTGCTGTGATTTTGAGCCAAATAAAAATTTAGGTGTGTACAGAAGCATATGTATTTTCGTCAGTCATGCAACACTATAAATCCAAGTTTATCCTATTAAAAATTATTAACATGATAATAGCTAAGTCCTTCTATATTACTTTTTCCTTATATAAAATAAAGGTTTCCAGCGAAAGTAAAATTAAATATTCAAAATATGTTTCACACTTTTTCTGAGAAGCTGCAAGCTGATAAAAAGTGTGAATATATATTTTAATAGGTTCTGATACTTTTTTGGGCTTATTTTATAAGCCCGTAAAAAGTTTCAAACCTATTTTGATATTTTTTCCCCTGCAATCAATTATTTATGGCTTCAAACATCTTATGTCAACCAAAGAACATACGGAAATGTACATTATTATGCCTTTTAATAAGTAAAAGGAACAAGCGATTGAGCTAAATTTGGTATACTCCCAGAATATTCAGGTAAGACCCTATTTTACAATGAACGTTGCTACAGAAGAACTCGCTTTTGATAGCGAATATGTAAAATCAGTTGCTAAGGATGTATATTTTTATTTCTAACATCAGAGTATAGAAACAATGCTGAGAAATCAGGAATTTAAACCACAGATGATTAATCAATGGTGCTCTTCTATCGTTGAAGACTGCACAAAAAGACTTTGCGCACAAAACAAACCATTTAAATACGTATCTACATGCGTCATCATGCAAAAAACAGGTGCTGGATTACACTTAGCTGCATCAACATTTTGGGATCAAACTACAGATTCATCTGTTACGGTTCGTTGGGAAAACACAACAATGTATGCGATTATATGCGTATATGGCGTTATGATTTAAGTTATTTATTTTTTTATAAATATTAAATGTACATTTATGATAAATCATCCAAGTTTTCAGATATTATATATATCAATTACTAGGTGAAAATGTTACTTGATATATAATAATCTTTATATATTTTTTATATTATTTTAATACTTTTTCATATCAGCATATTTTTTATCACACATAATTTATGAAAAAGATAAAGATGGAAAAACAGCTCTTCGCATTGCAAAAGAAAATTACCGCCATGACCTTTTCTATTTTCTTAATTCACATGGTGCTACCCTTTAACTTTTGTTACGCCACCCTTTTTCATATATGGTTACACTATCATTTACACTTAAATAGGCATATAATCATATTTCATTTTTATATAATTTTAAACTAATATAAGGAATAATTATTTGTAGTATGAATTCTAATCTCCATGAATGGGGGTCAATGTGGAATCACTTCAATCCTAATCGTTAACTAATGTTAACTACTAAAATGCTCATATAACATTAATTTGATCAAGAAAATTACAATTTTTCGCGTGACTTTTCCCCTCAATTTTTGAAAAATTCAGCACCAAATATTTGATTCTTTTGATCTTCAAAATTATTGGAATCGAATTTAAAAAAAAGGTAGTGGGGCTTCCAGGCGCGTTGCGCCCTCTAGCCCTGAAGATGTTTAGTATAAATGAAGTTTATATTCGGAGGGCTTCCAGGCGCGTTGCGCCCTCTAGCCCATAAAAAATTTCTGAGGACGAGCCAGCCGGTGACTTTTTTGTAGAGCACTCAAAATAGTATAACTTTGTCCGGACAAGTAAGGGTCTATCGTCGCTACAGGAAAAGTTACAGGCGTTCCAAGGAAGTATACTTTGAGAAGCCTTTTCTCCATTTTAAAACAAGATAGGACGGTTATTTTACAAAACTGACAACACTTTGACCGAGTAATTTTTTGTGCTGAACAAGAAGTGTCATATAAACATCTGTCAAAAACCGCTTTTTAACTTCACTTAAAATGCCACGTAAGCTACGTAAGAATATACGTAAGAGGAAGCGAGCATTGAAACATCCAATAGTAAAACTGACACCACAACAACAGTTGCAACAACAAATGATGAATGACCCCACTATGTTGCAACAAATGTCAAGCAACCCTATGCTTTTAAACCGAGTTATTGGTGCACAGAGTGGAGGTTTAAGAGCGGCACTTTTAGCGAAAATGGCAGGCTATGGTGGAGCTGCAGACGGAACAGCTTATAACCCTCAAAGTCAAATGAATTTGAGTTCACTCAAAAATCAAATAACAGATGTCAAAAAGTCAAACATAGACATACAGAAACAAATAAGTGAAAACGAAAAGAAACTAGAATATGACAGACACACAAAGAAACTCAATGAGTTAAACGTAGAGAAAAAGAAGAAAGAAGAACAACTGAAAGAACTAAGTACAGAGGAATATGCGAAAAAAGTGTCAGAAAAAGCAGCAGAAGTAGCAAAAATGGAACAAGATGTTATAAATTTGAAAAACCATACTACTCAATATAAAGTACTGAAAGATGAAGAGATAAAACAAAAAGCCCTGAAGACATATATGGATAGCGATGAGTATAAAAAAGAAGTTGAAGCAAATGTAAAGGCAGAAAAACTTTTACAGTTGCAAAACCAAACCGTACAGTATGAAAACTTAGCACAAGAAAGTAAAAATAACGACGCAGCCATGCAAAAGGCAATGAAAAGTGCAGATATTATAAAAGTTAATAATGACTGGTTAGATGCCCAAGCCAACGCTAAAGCAGCCCAACTTATAGGGTCAATAAGGACAAAAATACAAGCGGATGAAGACAGTTCAAATGAAGCTTTAATGAATGCTGACTTTAAGAATGCCTTCGAAGCTCTTCATAGTAAGGTGAAACTAGTGAACGACTTCTCATCTGGAAAGAAACTGAAGTCTGAAGGTTTCGACAAAGAGTTAAGAGAAGTAGCACAAAATATGACGAAAATAACAGATGCAGCAACGAGACAGGCAGTTCAAAGTGCCTATGACGCCGTTAGAGCAACTGTTGTGGAAAGTCAAGAAAAAGAGTTACAACAGACCAAAACAGACCTAGTAAATGCTTTCTTAAAAACGAAAAGTCAGGTAGAACATTATGCTGCAGATGGAACATATGTGCCAGCTGGTGGAACTTATATACCACCAAACCCTCCAAGAGAAGCACCTGCACCAGGACTACCTAAAACATTTACATCGTCACATGGACACAGACACAGGCATGCACCAAAACCAACACAACAACCAACAGTTCAAAATCCAGCACCACAACAACAACCAAAACCAACAGTTCAAAATCCAGCACAGCAACCAACAGTTCAAAACCCTGCACCTGCACCACAACCAAAACCAGCACAACAACCACCTCCACAACCAGCACAGCAACCAACAGTTCAAAACCCTGCACAACAACAACCACAAACAGAGCAAGGACATAAAAGAAGTAGAGAAAAAGGAAACCAAGAATTCTTAAAAATGCTTAAGGAAGATTATGGTTACCCAGATACTCTTGACTTTAGTGACAGATATAAAGAAGCTATTAGAAAGTTCAAGGAAGAAAATACTGACCCGAACCTATTTAGCTTTATGGCTCAGCATCAAATCGGATATAATCTCAAACCTGGAAAATACAAGCTCGCAAAGGGATATGATTTAATAGCATATCATCCAAATGACATGAATGAATTTACTCCGAGATATTTGGTGTCAGAGCTAAATGATAATTCAACTCTCTTCATGAAACGCGTAAAAAATAGAGACGGAACGAAAGAAGAAAGGTTTATGAGTCCGGATGACTTAGATAGGGAACTTGTTAAAAACGGTCTCGGAATATATGAAATGCCAGCAGATGAGGTACAAGAAACTCAACAGGAAAAAGTTCAGATACAACCAGACATGGAAGAAATAGTTCAGCAACAACAGCTAGAAGAGCCTGAAGGAAACGAACAAGTCCCTCCTTTGGAAACTAACTTCACAGAACTAGATGAAGATTTGGAACAGCCGAAAAATCTTGACCCTCAACAAGTGTATGCGGAGAATATGGAATCTTTCCAAGAGTCTAAGAAAAATTCGGCTGACATAGTAGAAGAATATCGAAAAATGTTCACCGACATACAAAAGACTCCAACATCCGATGAAAATATTCAGCATAGAATGGAAGTACTGAAAGAAAATGTACGCAAATACAATAATCCTTTTTACTTACGACCATATAACGTTCAATCTTTGGCTGAACTCGGTGAAAATAAAAGGTTAAATTTCAACAAAACATATAGAAATGAAACATTGTTTAAAGTTCATTCAGAACCTAACCAATATGGAAACAAACCTACTTTTGTTTCTGCAGACTATGGAACTACAATGAGATGGGGTCATAAAGCTAATCCGGATAGGTGGTTTCATAAACTTACAACCTCAATTCCAAGAAGTTGTAGACGCAATGGAAGTGAATGGTGAACCAGATATAGCTGGTATTTTCAGCGCGGCTTTAATGCCATTGAAAGATATGAAACATGCAGATATTTTGGACCAGTATGAAATGAACATGGCTGATGGAAATATAACACCTGACGTTCTAGAACATTTATCTCAAAGAACTACACAGAACCATAGAGATGGTATATTTGGTGAAGAGTTTAGAAAGACAGTTAGGGAGAGAGAAGGAAGAGAACCTATTGTACATGACCTTGCAAACGAAAGTTTGCAAAATGTCATAAAAACTTACTTTGCAGACAATGAACTGAGAAGGGATGAATATTTAAGAAAACTCAAATGGACAGTACCAAATGAAATGTTAGTATTGAAAAACATGTTCCATGACAAAATAAAACCAACTACAGAAATAAATGACGCAAGACTGAAGCGTTGGGTAAAAGCTTTCCCATTCACAAAAGATATTATTGGTAACATGGAAAGAAAACCAGAATGGCTACAAAAACATATATTTGGAAACGAGCTTATTCCATATGGACAAGCTCTGTTTGAAGAGCTTGAACCGGAAACTCAGGAAAGAGTCATGCAAACAATAAGCGAAGACTCAAATACAAACTATGACAAAATCTTTCTAGGATATAGGTTACCTGAGATGGCGACCAGAGCCCAAAGGCAAAAAGGACATGGAAAATTTACAACATACTAGGTGAACATGAGGCAAAGATGCTACAACTTGAAGCAGAGGGCAAGTTACCAAAAGCGACACCAAAGAAGAAGAGAAGAGTAGAACAAAGTGAAAGTAGTGAAGAAGTAACTTCATCTAGTGAAAGTAGTGGCAATGAAGGAAAAAGAAGAGTTAAAAACTCAGTCAGGAAGAAAGTAAAGCTTGGTCCGAGTGGGTTCTATTATGATATATAAATCCAACTATTCTATATTTTTACCCATATGAAATGTACGCCGCTCAGAATATAACGCCAAACAGTTTTGGATGCCATGAACGGAAATGTTTCCGAATGGTATAACGAATGCGACAATGCCATTAGAAGGTCAGAAATAGTTCCTGGAACTTACAAATATACAACTGCTGTTTCTTATGGAAACGTAGGTGAGTTTGGAGAAGGTTCTTCAACAACAGTAGATATTGCTTGCGACAGGTTTCATATTATTTCTATTGACAACTCATTCTTATACGTGGAACAAGACATTGAAATAAAACCTTCTGCCAAGTTGTCTGACAAGAAAGGTTGCAATGGAATTTTCTATGTCGGATACCAATATGCTCCAGAAGTTTTCATGGGATATAAGATATATTCTAACTCTGACTTAGTTCAAACAGTAACATGGGCAAACTATGAATGGTTCGCTTTGAGAAACTCAGTACAACCACAAGCTAGAGAACAAACAGACCAGTATGCAACTATTGAGAAAATAAGAAGACTTGACCCTAACGTTCCAGGAGTTTATGTTAACCTTTCTGGACAAACTGCAGCAGCAGTAACCAAAGTAAAACTGAAACTTAGAGTTCCTTTGTCATCTTTCCTCATCTTAAGGTTTTTAAGATACTTGCCAAACTGGGCAGGAAAAATTTCTATCGAACTTACTCCAAGCAAAAATAACTTAGTCAATGCACCAACACAAGACCCATTCAGCATTACTGTAGCTGGAACTGGTGGAGCCAAGTTCTGTGACTTTTGCAAAGACAAAGTTGACTTAGACTTTGGTTTCTCAAACCTCAACACTGAAGTAAACAATTATTTCAATGCTGCTGGAGATGCTTGGGACCCAGTTAAGTTCACATGCGAACAGTTTGAATGCAAGAGAATAGAAAGCAGACTTGCCGTTTATATGTTGGACCCAGATATTTCAAATGCTTTAGCTGCCAAATATATTGCAGTTCCACTTATGTTCCCTATACACCAAATATCTGTCAAAGACTTTGCAGGTGAAGTTGGAAACCAAAATCCAGGAGCCGCAGGTGCAAGAACAGATATTGCTTTAACAACTGCAATGAAACATGCAGATACTATGTTTGTACTGTTCAGACGAACTATAAATGACTATTCTTGTTTCTACAACCCTGGTATTAAATATCATATAAACATAGATGGCAAATATTATCCAAGAGAAGAATATTCTACAGTTGAGGATATGAGGTCATACAACTTGACATTAGATGCTATGAAATTTAACAACAACTTCACAACAACCATTAACACTGAAATGCAAAGTTCTATTATGCCATATGTGAAAGTATGGACTCATACAGGAGGTCAAAAAACTCAATATACAAATGGAGACCGTTCAAACTTTTGGCTTGGCATTCCATTTGCTGACTCAGAAGACTTTATGGGTGGTATTTCAACTGTTGGTACAGTTCAAATACAATATACTGGTGACAGAGACGGTCCAGATGAATTGAAAGCAAAGAAGTTTACAAAACCAATAGCACTTTTCACGGAAGATGCTCTTTTGAAGATTCGTTCGATGAAACCTGCTGGGGCTCCTCAGATTGGCATAACGACAGCTTCTATCGAGCAGATTTTGGCAGCAGGTCAGTAAGTTGTTCTTGAACTGACTTCTCTCCGTCAAATATTGACAGTACGCCAGTTTTGACATAATATTGTAAGATAAACTTTCCTTTAGTAATATCGGTCAGTTTTGAAGTTTAATATTTTTTGTCTGCTTCAAGAACTTTCACCATCTCGGTTATACCAACTTTCTTTGCTTTATGAAAATATTTAGGTTCAGCAAAGACTGCTATTCTATAACATTTTCCATTGTTTGTGTAAAGAACTATTCTGTCAATGTATTTGTATTGTTTGTGAGTATAAACTTTGTTCTGCTTCAATTTCAATAGATATCCGAATACGTCCATCTTTTTATTCTAAGTAAAATGTCATTTCCGAAAAATAGAAGCGTAAGTGTTTTCAAAAGGTTTAATGGCGGTGGCAGATGTGAAGTTAAATTCACCAACTCAAACAAACAGTCAAAGTGTTATTGTCAATGTCAAAGACAGAGATGTTGAAATGGGGAAACCATACGAAGACGAAGATGGTATAACAATTGTTCCTGTAAAAGAACCAACATATCCTGAAGTTAGCAGAGACTTAAGTTCTGTTGCAGATATTCGAAACGACTACCAACACTGAAAGACAAACTTCAAACTCAGGAGAAGATTTGTCAAGCTTTAAGTATAATGTTAAACTTGGTCGAACACAACCCTGTAAAAGTGAACTCATATGTCATTGCACCTCATGAAGTTTTGAAAGAACTATTGAAACTTTTGACAGAGGCAGACGATATAAACATCAAAGAAATAGAACCCGACATTAGTTGCTGTGGTGTTTCATATAATGCCATTGACAAGATATACGTTATGAAAGGAGGTGAAACGTTGAACTTAAAATATAGTTTCCCAGACGTTATAAAAATATTTGACGACCACAACATTTCATTAAAGTTTATTTGCTAAGTAAATGGCAGAAGACATAATGGTTTATACTATTACGACTAAAAACCCTGAGTCATATAATTCTATAACAACAAACTTACAAAGTTCCTCAAGGACGATATTGTAAACTAACCTTAAACACAATGACGACTAAAGCCTGTTTTGCTCTTTTGACACCAGAAGACTTTATTGTTGTGAATGGTAAAAAATACTCCTTTGAAGATACTTACTCAGATATACCAACAACAGGTTTTGTTGACTTATTAATACTTTAAGTACGGGTGTAACATGTGCTGCAACTAGAGCAGGTTTCATTATGTTTGGATGTCCGACTGAGTTACTATAAACGATATGAGCTATAATACAAAACTTATTTCTGTTTTTACTACAACAGTTTCCTATAACAGGAAAAAGGTGTCATACAAGGAATGTCTATTCCATTGACATTAGCACACCAATTCTTATATATTGTTTCAAACTTAGGTTCAAGTGTTATTCGAATGTCGACAGAAACTATTATGACCAAAAGATCTATGCGTATAAACAATACTTTCTCTGCTGGTTTGCCTATTGTTCATTCGAATGCAGAATTTTCAACCTTAGTGAACTCAAACACTTTGGCAAGTATAACGTTGACATTAGTTGACGCAAACTTTGTTCCTGTAAAACTTTTATGTCCTATGTATTTGTCAATGACGGCAGAAAGTTCGAATTGGAAGATGCAACTGGTGAAAGTATTGTATTACAAGAACAACTTCAACAACAAATAGCTCAAGAACAACAAATGCAACAAATGGAACAACAAAGTCAAGAATAAAAAAATATTATTTTTTTTTATTTTTATAAAAATGTACAGAATAGATGTTTCAGATTTTTATGACTTCCAAGCATTCAGAAATATGTGTCCATTTAGAGACTATAACAAAGCAGTCGAGAATTTGAAACGTTAGTCATTTATGTTGACTCTGCCCCAGAATGTTATGTCATGAAAGAATGGGATGTTGTCTTTAACAAACCAAGAGCAACAATAGTGTCTGAACAAGAATGTAGACAGAAACTTAAGAAAATAAAAGTCGTACAAGTTGGAATGAAGATGTTAGATGCTTGGGATATCTTATTGTCAAAGTTAGAAGATTTTTCAGTTCGTGGTATAAAGTTTTATACACCTTCTCCAAACTTCTATTCTATCTTCACTGGATATAAATATGAACAAGTAGAATGGAAAGAAAATATTATAGAAGCTTGGTTAGACCATGTCAAAGAAATTATATGCAATGGAAACGAAAAGGTTTATGAGTATATCTTATGTTGGTTTGCAAACATCTTACAACATCCAAGTGCTAAAAATGAAACTGCTCTCATTATAATTGGAAAACAAGGAACTGGTAAGAATACTTTCTTTACAGATATTTTTGTGCAAACTGTTAGAAGGTTATTCGAATCCGAATATGACAAACTTAGAAAACATCTGTGGCAAGTTTAACTCCTCAATAGAGAATATGAAACTTATAGTTTGCAATGAAACTTCAAAGTATAGATACAACAAAAGTTTTGAACTCAGATGCTTTGAAGAGTCTTATAACAGACAAAGTTGGAGTTGTTGAAAAGAAAGTATAAAGACCAAAGAGTTTGTGAAAATGTTGCAAACTTCATTATGGTTTCAAACAATGCTGTTCCGATGAAGTTAGAAAGTTCTGACAGAAGATATGTAGTTGTCAGAACGTCAGAAGCTCATATGCAAGATACAGAATATTTTGACGACTTAGCAGAAACTTTGACACCAGAGTTTTACAACCATTTGTTCTCATACTTTATGACATTAGATATTTCTAAGTTCAATCCAAGACAAATTCCACATACCGAAGAGAGACAAACATTGTTAGAAGCAAACAAGAGTGTATATGAACTGTTCATAGAAGAAAGCGACTTTGTGTCATTAGATGAAAGGTCATTGTACGATTCGTATAAACAATATTGTCAAGAATATGGTTATATGGCAGCTTCTAAACGTACATTCTTGGCAAATGTCAAAAGTCTTTTAGATGTTCAGAATGGTGTATATACAAAGAAAATTTTTTCTGAGTAAATTTAAAAAAAATATTTTTTTATCCGATAGAAAAGATGACGAAATTCATCTCAGTAAACAAGTACATGTCAGGACTTAAAGAAGAACTAGACCCATTTACATATTTGAATGTTTACTTCTACCATTTTGAAAAGTCTTCATTCAGCAAAGTTTGGAACATCGAACCAGTTAAGTTTGCTATTGTGACTAAAAATGGTGCGAAATTTGAAGACTTAGACATAGAAGGTTTGTTAACAGTCAAAGAAAGTTTTGACAGAAGGTTCTCAAACCTTAAAGAAGGCAAAGCATACAAACTTGTTATACCTTATGAACCAAAGAAGACAGACGACTATGAATATTATGAGTCTAAAGTTGTAGAAGTTCAAGGTAAATTGGGTAAAAAGATTTTAGAGTCTAAGCCAGTGTTTACTCCTAAAGAGGAAGAGAACATTGACATTGACCCAGAAATGTTCTAAAAATAAAATTTTATTTTTACATGTCAAATTTCTTTTTCTCTGGAACTGGTTCAGGTTCTTTCTTCTCTTCTTCTACTTTCTTTTCTTTCTTTTCTCTCTTCTTCTTTTCTGGTGGAGTTATGTCAAATTTGGCGCAACTATATTTATGTAAAAGTTCTTTGTCCTTTAATAGCTCATCTATTCTGTTTTCTATTTCATCTTCAAGAACAGCGCATGTGTCTTCTTTGCATTCTAAGAACTTTTGTTGGACTTCATCTTTCCAATCGGCGTCATCTCTGTCAACAAGTCTGTCATTGACAAATTTTAAGACTGCTCTTTGTAATGTTTTATGGTTCTTGTCATATTCCCAGAAACAGAACTTTAGAACAAATTCACCTTTCTTGTTTACACTATGTAAGATTTTATGGTCGACAGATGTTTTGCTGTCAAAAAGTTTGTCTCGAATATAGATAGCGAAATCGCTAGACATTTTCTAAAAGATAGAAATTTTAATTTTTCTAAAAATATGTTAGAAAAAAAGTTTGCTGACATTGACAAAAATTTGAGAATGTTTTAACAAGAACAAGAGGAAGTTAGAAAATGCTCAGATAAAACATGACAAGTTCTTATTTGCTCAGAATGGTATACAGGTCTAATTGCCACCACCTGGGTCTGGTAAGACTTTCACTTATCTTAAAATGGCTGCACAAACAACAAGAACTAGATGAGAAGAACCCATTCTATGAGTTAGTTGTTATTTGTAGTACTTCTGGTCAATTTGACCAAACCGTCAATTTGTTCAAAGATATTATAAGAAGTCTAAGTTAGTATGTATAAAGGATACTGAGTTGTTAGATTGGATAAAGAAGTACCAAAGAAGAGTTTTGAAGTATAATGCTATAAATGAGTATATAAATTCTAAGTTCAAAGACCCAAATGAGAAATGCAGAGAATATTAGAGAAGAAACACACTTCAGAAACAAACAGAAAGAGATAGAATACATTTCGAAGAAATTGCAATCTTACGATTGGAAGACATACCCTCATAGATGTCTTCTTATTTTAGATGATTTCGCCTCTCATCCTTTGTTAAAGAACAGAGAACAAGATATGTGTCGAATTCTTAAGAAGCTCAGACACTTTAACATCTCAGTTGTCATTTGTGTACAGACAGCAAAGAGTTTAAGTAAGGATGTTAAAAGAATACTTACTGACATAATACTTTTCCCCGGATTGTCCGAAGACGATTTCATGGAACTTATGAAAGAGTCCATGGCAGGTAAGTTTGACAGACATGA